AAGGGATGTACGGGCCGGGGGGCGGGGGTTGTGTAGGTGGAAATAAGGCTGCCGACTCAACAAATGTGTGAGTCATACAACTTGAGTAAGCAGAAGAGGTCTGGGGCCACCCCCACCACACACCCTTTTACCCACGGGTAGCTTTGATAGTGGTGTTACACGTGTCCCAAGAAACTACTTCATCTAATTATGTCCTTATGTCTGTGGCTAGCCTGGGATGTGGGTCAGGACTGCTGGCCGTGATGAAACAAGAGACGTCTGTGTCTTCCTTGGCTGTGTGGCAGTCCATCCCATTTTGGGGGGATGGGGGCGGGGGTTGTTACCCTGCCACACGTCAGATGTTTGTACCTGTTAGAGAAAACAAACAAAACCACAATCCAAGTGTTGTTGTGTTTCAAAGACAAGAGGGTGTCATAATATAGCGTGTGCCGATGTCACACCGGGCAACCTTTACAGTAAAGGGTGTCATTTCTCCTCCAGCAACTCAAAACAAGAGGGCGGGAAATAAAGAAAAAGAAAGAAAGAAAAAAAATCTGCCCAGCTGACGATTTGTCAAACACTCCTGACACACCCCACACGTGAAGCGTTAAAACAAGAGTTCTTGTTCGCGTTAGAAATGAGATGGGGAAAGACGCTTAACATTTTAATTCTCTTATTTACGTTATAAACCCTCAGGGACGCCTCCAACTTCATTATTTATACTTTTTACTCCCAATTGTCCTAAAGTTCATTTACTAGATGTTGTAATAACGCCTTTAACAACAACCTCAATAGCGATGGTTAATGAATTAACCAGTCGTCTATTAGAGTCCTCAAACACTGAGAGATTTGACGGCGCTGACGCCCCAAACCCTCCCAGAACGCGCACCAGCGTCCGCGGGTCAGTGTGTGTGGAGATTGGACCTGAGAGTCAACCAAGACTCAGTCAACCAAGTGTGGAATTCTACACCGCAGTGTCAGTCTGCCTGCTGTGGGTGCTGGTTTCTCAAAATGTGGGGCGTACCGCTAAAAACATGGGTTGTAGACAACTCTAGTGTAGAAATGGTGAAAAGAGCAAAATTGATATATATTTATCATTCATTTCCACGGAGCAGCCGGACCCTGCTGCAATACCAGCCAACCATAACTCCCTGAAATCCATTACTATAAACATTGGTCATGCATACAGTTCTGAATTGCTGTGTTTTACCCTTCAGAAAAGGTAGGAGTAACAAAATAGTGTAGTCCAGTCCAGAAGCTGAAGAGGGATTTTATACTGAGAACAGAGAGCCAAAAATGATATTAGAACGTATGCAGTCTCAAGACTGAATAGAGCTGCGTGCGAGAGTATCGGGCTGTTCCCCCATTCAGCCGAGTGAGAGGAAGAGTGAAAGTCTTGCCTCTGGGTTGAGTTCCTTTCTGCTATCTCTGGCTCACAGCGTCTGATGATGCCACGGTGGAAAGGGTGCAGACCTCCGTGCCGTGTGTGTGTGACTCATGGACCAAACTTCACACCGCTTGGAAAGAATTTTCTTCCTTTTTCTTTTACGTCTCCTCACCTCCTGTGACTACGTTTACCCCTCTCAACCACGTCAGCAAAATAAATAGTATTCAGCGGGTAGGAGTAGGCCTGGGGGCATCGTGAGAGATTTGTTAAAGAAATCTAGTCCCGACAGATCTAAAACATTGGTATCTGAGGAACATGTAAACAGGCCTTGGATCGTCTGGACCAAATTAACATAAATTGCGGCCATAACAAAAAGCGCTCCTCCTGCGTCAGTTGTTCTGATAAAAGTAAAAAAAAAAGAATAACATGTTGTTGTTAACTCTAATGTCTGTCCATGTTCTTTTGTTATTCACACAGCTGATGAGACATTGTGTTGTGGACATTGGAGGACGAGGGTGGTGCGTGAGGTCAGCCTGCCTGCATCTCTGTAAACACGTCCTCTCATAAACCGTCCCATGAATTCCTCCCCGTCCATCTCGCCCTCTAGCTTAGCCTAATAACTGTTTGTGAGGACGCCACCGGTTCCCAAGGCAACTGTTACCAAGGGAGCCGAGTCGCTTGCCCTGCTTGGTGCATTTCTGAGCTAGCGAGAGCGGCAGCGAGTCCTGATCGTGGAAGAGAAGCACCTGGCGAGAGGAGGGAGGGGGATTTTGCCGTTCTGACTTCAAGGAGGGTTTTCTCTGAAAAGAGGCGGTGTGATGTTCTGTTTTATCCTGAACTTTACCGAGGCGTGTTGAGATAGTCAGCCGTGAGACGCAGAAAGAAAGGTTTGGGGGCTTTTGAGGTTGCTCATGTGGGGAAATCGAGAGTGACAATCAAGTCATTGTCGGTTGTTCGCCTACGTCCTCTTAGATTTCCGGTTCGTCGGGATTTACACAACATTTTCCTTTCAATCGAGTTCCAGGACAGGTGTTGAGTCATTCTTTTATTCGGAATCAGACAGCTACATGCACTAAAGTCAGTCGAGAAATCCGACTGGTGGTTCCTTTGCAACAAAGAGTTACTTTCCCAAAGTGACTGATGGGTTATTCATCTCACGCGCACATTTTGTGATCATGTTTGTCATTCACTGTTAGCTAAGAATAGAGCAGACGAGGATTTTCACTTAACACCCTGGCAAATAAATAGCTTTGAAGTCAGTTGACTGTCTGGCGTGTGTTGGCGAGGCTCGTGTTAGTCATGAGTCGGCCACATGTGCCGCTCACACAAGACGGCTGTGTGTCTGAAGTGGATTTGAGGAGTGAAACTGACCATTTTTCTGAATTGACTTTGTTTCACCTCAATAGAGACTCACATAAGATCACTTTTTGTCAGAAGCAATTTTGCGGATACACTAAAACACACGTACAGTTGATATCTTTACAACAGGAAGCCTCCGAGCCCCCACAGCCCGAGGCCTCTCGCACACAGACATACACCCCCCCTCAGGGAGGCCTACTTCCTGCAGTTGTGACGAACGCTTCCTCTCCCCTCCGAGCTCTGTTCCCCTTCTCTCTAACGTCACACACGTGCATCCGATTGGTGTGTGCGTGCCTGCGAGGGGGAAAAAAAAGCGATGCGCCACACTAACCCAGTTGTGTGTTGTCATTCACAGGCCCAGATGTCTGGGTGGTGACTGCCGAGACAAGCGGGGCCCCTTGTTCACCAAGCTACCTTCCTCCTTGTCCTGTTTATTTTTCACCAGCAGATAAAAAATGTAGGGCAACTGTTACTTAAAATCAGGTCAAGTTGACATGTGACCACCAACAACCAGAACCAGATAGCGTTGGTAGTTTGTGCGAACCCAAAGCTTGTTTCAGGCCAAATGTTGATATTAGCACCACCGTCAACCCAGCAGTCATTCCATAAAGACAGATGTTCCTCCCTCTCTCTGCAGCCTGAATGAAGGGCAGATGTGAGGGAGTGCCTCAACAAACAAAGTAGTAGTGGTAGACAAAGTAGGACAAACAAGAGCATGCATCTGGCGTGCGGATAGGACCCCGAGTGTATCTGCATCAAGGGTTCGGTCTGAGGTCTCTGCCCTTGAAGAAGCGTTGTGTTGTTCGCTTGGATGCTTGGAGACAATCGTCCCTCATGGAGGTTGTGTGCCGTGTCCTCTGCTGACCAACACCTCTGTGTGTGTGTGTGTGTGTGTGTGTGTGTGTGTGTGTGTGTGTGTGTGTGTGTGTGTGTGTGTGTGTGTGTGAGATGCCTTGAACATCCCACACGTTTTGTTTTGTGTGTGTGTGTAACGATGTAGACGTGACAGAGTTAGCCCGCATTGCCGTCACGGAACGGCATGCACTGATGTTATCACATGCACAAACAAATACACTGAGGGAGGATGGATGCAGCGGGTGCGTGTTCCTCTCTGTGTTAGAGAGAGAGAGAGAAATGCATGGTGTTTCCTTCAGAACGTGATGTCTATCTGAGATGATTATGCAATAACTAACTGGTCTCCAGAGGACACAACGGGACGGGGAGAGGGAGAGAAGGATGAAGACTGGTCCTTGCATGGCCTCTCCGTTATCCTCGCTCAGTCTTCTGTTATCTGGCCGTGCTCCCTTCCTTATCTGGTCATTTCTGAAAAGGCCGTGACTTTACCAGGACAGTAACAGTCTCCAGCTGCCTGCCGTCAAACACTGCGCTGGTGTTTGTCGTAGGGCCAATACAGCACTCCGCCTGTAGGCAAGTGTTTCCTTTACCATTATAACTGGGGGGCACGTGCTCCACCCCACCCTGAAATACATCCACCCGCCCCCCTGAAAAAGTCTGGAAATAAAACAAAATTGAGCCTAAAGTGTAAGCAAATGAAACTGAAAAGGCATAACGGTTTTGTTAACTCAATTCTAACCAATTTTACAATAACCGTGCGGTAAATCAATCAAAGTTTCAGGTATTACCATCATTTCTCTTGAACAACTCTGGAAAGTTGATCATTTTCTCATTGCGCTTGCAGCCACATCCTGTTTGTCTGTCTAAACACACATACACACTAAATAGAAAGCAAAAATGACGTCCCAAGAATTCCCCGCAGTTCTCACATCTCGCAAAACGCCTCCGGTCACCTGACTGTAAGCGGTGTCCCAGGGGGGCGGAGTTTAGGGCCAGCGGCTTGGGGTAAGTCCTCTGACAGGACGCTGAGTCATCAAGGGGATCCCTGAAAAATATATGATGAGGCAATTCTCACTCGCGAGCAGTGTGACAGCCGAGGTAGCAACTGGAATAGACAACCGTCTGGTCACAACCAACCTACACACACACACACACACACACACAGTGTAGAAGTGGTAATTACAGCTGTGCGGCTGCGTCCCTGTTTGCAGTACCAGTCACTGTTTTGTCAGCGCTACTAGGTGACTTTTCTGGCCCAGCTATTCCTGAATTGAAATCCTTGAAAGCAGAGACCACCTTAATTATATCTAATTAAAGTGTTGTCATAATTTCATTATGCCTCTGAGTATAGTGTTCGATGTGGCTTCACGCTGTTTTTGAATCAGTTGGACATGAATGTTTTGTCTTCTCTGTCTTTCAGGGTTGAGGAGACCCAAGAGAGATGATCGGCAGCCGAAGCTGAGACACGACGTAACTGTGAATCTATAACTTGGTGCTACTCCCAAAGGTAAGCTGTTGGTGATCGACGCAAGTCTGCAGGGAGAGGTGTGTGTGTGTGTGTGTGTGTGTGTGTGTGTGTGTGTGTGTGTGTGTGTGTGTGTGTGTGTGTGTGTGTGTGTGTGTGTGTGTGTGTGTGTGTGTGTGTGTGTGTGTGTGTGTGTGTGTGTGTACACGCGCGCGCGCCGGACAAGCTAAAAGCGTCCAGTGATTTTCTCTATTTAAAGCACAGTAAGGGATGTTTCAGAGAAATCCAGAGTGGGCGGGAGTAAGAAAGGCCGAGAAGAGGAACTGGCGGGAAGAGGAACCTGTGTATGGCCATTGCTAATTTTGGAAAACTGGTGGAAGAATGAATCCTAACCTGTGCGCATGTCTCTCCACATGTTTCATTTCTCTTGCTATCGAACAACTTGATACTTTTGCGAATGTGACAGAAATCCAATATTCTTGTATCATGTTCGTGTCATCCAAATAATTGAAGTATGCCAGGACTTGTGGCGTGATATTGCAGTTTGGGGATAATTCGGTTTGATCTAGCAATCATTTTAACAGATAAAAAACTATTATACTAATATTAGGATTTAAGTGATTTCATGTTACATGTTTTGAGACTTGTTTCTAGCAGTAGTGAAGTACAGATACATCCCTCTCTCTAGTCAAGGATCTCGTTTTCTGTATTAGAATCAAGGTGCTTTGAAACATGGACTTCTTTGTATCGTGACACCCTCTGTTATTTGAAGTGTGTGCAGTGTTGGAAAAGCAGGGAGGGTGTTGTGTTGCAGCCTCTTTTATGTTTTTCCCCTCAACCGCTTTCCTTTGTGTCGTGTGTGTGTGTGTGTGTGTGTGTGTGTGTGTGTGTGTGTGTGTGCGCGCGCGTGGGAGAAGGTGTGTGGGCGTTTCATGGCACCGTTTCTCCTCTGCATCTTTTCTCTTAATCTATCTTTCCATCCTGTTCAGACCGTCTGTCCCCCCCCCCTCCTTCACGCCTGTCGTAATGAGATTAAACTTTAGTGTATCCTCTGCGCATGCACGCTTTATACAAACACCCATCGGAGTACTGCAGCACACACACACACACATACACACAATTATCCACTTAAGAGGGGACACCATTCTCTCTCTCATGCACTAAGTCAGCACAGGCCTGGAACGACCATGCAGCTTGCACACTTGGCATCGCCTTCAACACAACTCACACTCACACCCTTGGCACGTGACCAAGGCCTCCCCCTCGTTCCCTCTGTCTCTTGTTATCAGGAGGCCCATGGTAAGGATTACAGTAACCCCAGGTCTCTCCTCGTAGGTGAGCTCCCCACTGAGCCATCTGGGCCACCACATAATCCTTTTCTGTGCTTACTGGCGCCTCCTACTGGCTGACTGACACCTAGCAGCCAGCTACAGACAAAAGACATCCATTATTATTTAAGACTGCAACGAAATTGAACCCATTCTCATGTTGCTGGGGGAAGTGACCGAACTAGAACAGAATCAGGAAATTCCAGTGGTGAGAAAATAAAGATTCCAATAAGGGTTATAAAGGGTTTTATTAAAGGTTGTCACATGAAACTCTTCCCTGCAATACATATGATACTTACACCCCCCCCCCCCCCCCCTCTGCTCTCTAACTCACACATATAAAGACACCAACAAGCCTACTCAATTAATAGCCCACTGGCATTTATTGACTTTCAATGCGTCCAGCTCATTCTCATAATCTCTCTCTCTGTAGCCAACTGGCCTTGGGTTCCTGGTGCTTAAGACAGAGGAGTTGGACACTACAGGTATCCTCAGTGTTGGAGTGAGGCCCTCTCTCTGCTGCAGTGGAGGGCTTCACGGATACAGTAGTCTGGTGAGTAGAATGACAATTACGGTCAATTATTGCTACTCTATAAACGTTGAGGTTTGAGGGTGTTAATTTATTGCATAGAAGCATTGGAGTAGCTACATGGTGATATTTGATGTCATTCACAGGCTGGATGCATCACGCAGTAGAGCAGTTTGGCGGGCGTGGCACACGGGATTCCTTCCCTTTGGACGGACTCAACCGGGGACCATGGCCTCCTGTGGGGGGCCGCGCCTGGCAGCCATCTGCCAGGTCTGTGACCATGACAACGCACACAGACTCGCATTAACCTCTATCACCTGCTATGACCTATTTTTATGTCTTTAGTTGCATCATTTTACAGCCTTTACAAACACAGAAAATGTAATCTGACCGTCCCGTACGTGTCGTCACTGTTACTATTTAGGTGTTCGCCCGGAATGAACCAGCACCAGCTCCTTCCCCATCTACCTCCTGGTCCCGTGGGCGGAATGAACCACCTCAATAAATTCTTCAGCAATGGGTTAGTCACTCACAGAATCATCAGTGAAGGAACTACGTTTAGATTGCAGCGAGTCATTTGTTTTCAGCAAATTACTTGAAAAAGTAAGCTTATGTTTTAGATACGGTCTGTTTTCTTGTTTGTTGTACCATTGTTGAATCCTTTTTTCTTTATTTTTGGTTGTGCAGACCTATGCGAGGAAGTGAGAAGCTTGAGCTTGCACAGCCAAAGTTACCAGGTCTACAGAGGGAGCAGCAGAGACCACCTCATCATCATCTTCACCCTCCACCTCCCCACAGGTCATGGGAGCAACTAGGTCAGCTGTATGAATCCCATCTTCCTCCTCAAGGACATTCTGTTGGGCCACTAGCCAACGAGCACTCACCTCGTCTCCATAATGGAGGCTATGCAGGAGGCGGCGGCCCTCCCCCCCACCCTCATCTTCTACCCAGCAGACCAAACCAACTTCTGAAGGTGAGTGGTGTATAAATACCCCATACTTCTGATGTCCCCTGTAGCATTGCCAGGTTCGTGCATGAAACATAAATAAAGATTAAATGGCTCTGCTCACGGTTTCTGTGTTTTTCATTATTGTCTGCATTAGTTCGGGGGTCCTCAGGAGCAGCATGTTCCCCGGGGTCCACCACTGCTGGGAGATGAGACGTGGGCTCAGGTGCATCAGGTGGGAGCTCTCTAATTGGCTGTGATCATATTTCATCATCCATATAGACAGAGAACAATCTCTGCTTTCACTGTCATTTCTGCTGCAACCAGACAGCCTCTGTCACTGAGATCTGCCTAAATATTTCACCAATGGACCGTTTTTTGAACTGACCTTTTCATCTCTGTTTACAGCAGAGGGGCTACCCAGGGAAGATGATAGGAGGTCCCCTGAAGAGACAAGGCCCTCCACTAGGAGAGCACTCAGTTATCCAGCATACTCCTCCACCATCCATGCACCCGTTGTCCCGCCAGGCTGTAGAGGACTGTCCCAGCCCCAGCAAAAGGAAAAAGAGTACCGATCAGGTATGAGAATATACTGCTACACTAATAAAAGCCACACTGCGTGTTTGTCCTGGTTCATGGTTCCTTTGAGTATTACATATTGTAATGTCCCTCTCCCTGGGCAGTTATCCCATCCGGGTCTGCATCGTTTCCCTGGCCAGTCTTTGCTACCACAGCACCAGTCATCAGTGCACCACCTCCCTCCGAAAGCTGCCTTCTGGAACCCTCTTCACAAGAACAGCACTCCTTGGCAGCCACAGACCTCTGACCGCAAGAACCCACAATCGCAGGAGTTCCAGCTCCGAACAGTGAGAAAATATCCCTTCATTGCATATATGGGTCTTTAAGCCAGTAGTTAATGCTTTCCTATTGGCCTTAATCAATGGGAAACCCTGTATTGGATTAAGTGGCATTATAAAGATTTATTGATTTTATAGTAAATAACACCATGCCCAACTTTGATTTGATCCCGTTTGTTTAATATCACTCTAATTACTTCTGTCATTGTTCTTTTTGTATTGTATAACAGGAATCCAACAAACAAGGAATGGGTAGCTATGGCCAAAAGTCTTCTCCTGTCTCTTCACCTTCAAATCTTTCCCCACCGGCAAACTCCTCCCTGGGAAGCTACAACCATGGATGTGCTCCTCAGCACCAGAAAGATGCATTCCAACCTCAGGCTGTAAACCAGCAGTCCCCCGCCTCGTCCTATCCCAGCCCCAGCTCCAAACTAGGGCAAGCGCCACCCTGCCAGGCCATGGAGCCTCGTGGTCCTCACAACCAGAGAGGCACTCCTTTTAGGATCCAAGGTGGCAGCCAAGCTACCTCTCACTTGGCATCAACCCCGACCAGGGGGGAAAGAGATCAACACCTACATGCCCAGTCGTCACCAGCAAACCCTCCTACAACCAGCAGCGGTGTGCCTTACAGCCACTTCCAGCCTCATCCAGGGCTGGGTCACAAGGGTCCTCCTCCTCCTCCTGCCAGCAGCACCTCAGTACCTCAGCATTTGCAAAGTGGGCCCCACGAAGCCTGGAGATACCAGAGTAGGCCCAGCAGTCACTCTGCAGTGAGTATGAGTTTGTACTATGAGCCATATGTTTTCCTCTGAAAACAGATTTACAATTATTCTGTCAACCCAGATGCAGTTTTGGGAGTAACTATTAAGACATTCATTCATTGTGTCCCTTCAGGAGTCGGGCATCTACAGGCCTCCAGGACTGCTACCTCAGCGCCAGCAGAGCCATAATCACGTTCCAGGTCCTTCCCAACATCACCATCGTGTCAGCCCTCCTCTGCCCCCAACCAACTCCACCAGAACACCTGTCATCACCGCCAATCTTCCCATGGCCCAGGCCTCCGGCCCCATCGGCAGCCCAGGCAACATAAGGACATCTAGTTGCGTACCTATTGCTGGTGTGTCCAGGCCGAGCACATCCCCCTCTACTGGCTGCTCAGGGAACAATTGCAGCAGTATCGGCAGTTGGCAGCAAGGAAGAGAGCCTGTACCTCAAACCGCCAGCCGTGTTGTCAATGGTCCCACCTCTCAGCTGGATAATCTGCTGCAGCCAGGGTGTCAGAGAGGACAAACTGCCTCTGCCAACCAGCTCCACCAACAGGGGCTGCCCAGACCACAACAGCAGCAACAACCCTCGAAGTCCCGCCCTATGAAGGGGAAGACGTCGTGCTATGCTCAGGTTGAAGTGGAGCAGCCCCCGGCATTCCTCTCATCTTCTTCAATCTCCTCACGGCAACAAAGGGGAGGGGACAGTGTGATTACAAGTAGGGTTTCAAATCATCTCCCTTGTTCTCCCATTAAATATCGACCAGCTCCACGCTCGACCGCCAATACTGAACTTCAGTCATCCAATCCAACGCTCTCCCCCAGACGGGGTCAATCTGACTTTGTCTCGACACAGGCGTACTCTCAGTCCCAGATTCGTGCACCAGCGCCAACCTCGGCCCCCCAGTCCATCGAAGAGGCGCTCGACAAACTCGATGCAGAGTTAGAGGGTCACATGCAAGCTGAGGAAAAGAGAAAAAGGGACAGCGAGGAGCGGGAGACAAAAATGAGAGAGAACGAGAGGTGGAAAAAAGAAGAGATCAGACAAAAACGGGACGAGGAGAGGAAAAAGCTGGAGGAGGAGGAGAGGAAGAAGAGAGCACATGACAGGCAGGAGGAGGAGAGGAGGAGACAATGGGAGAGGCAAGAACAGGAGAGAAAAGGGAGAGAAGCAGAGCGACTGGAGGAAGAGAGGAAAAGGAGAGAATGGGAGAAGGAGGAGGAGAAGAAAAAGCGAGAATGGGACAAGAAGGAGCGGGAGAGGAAGAGGAGAGAGTGGGAATGGCAAGAGGAGGAGAAGAAAAAGAGAGAAGCAGAGAGGCAGGAGATGAGGAAGAGGGAGCAGCTGCAGGAAGAAGAAAAGAAAAAGCAAGAGTTTGAGAGGAAAGAGGAGGAGAAGAGGAGAATGGAACAGAGGAGGGAGAAGGATCTATGCAGTGCAAAAGGCAAAGAGCAGACCGCTATTGAAAACCTGGAGCGACTGCTCTCCTGCAACACTTCCCTTACGCCCCCACCTCCTCGCCTCTCTTCTGTGAACGCAGGCTCCTCAGGTCCATTGCCCCCCAGCTCCCAGGCTTCCCCCCCTTACCCCTGGCTTAGCCGCGGGGGCATACTCCCCTGTCCACCAGGCCAGACAGCCACCGCCGTTACTCCTGCAGAAAGGCTGCGGCCGCCCCCCCTCACACCGCAGACCGAGTACGCCAGAGAAAAGCAGCGGCAGAGAGAGATGTGGAGCAACAATAGCGGAACGACATTCAGCCCCTCGTCGACACACAATACCTCAGGGATGAACCAGTCGGCGTACCCCAACAAGCCCCCGGCAGTGCGAGCTGCTCCCACCCTGTCCAAAGACCCGGCAAAGGAGGCGGACAGCAGCAAGCACGCTCTCCCCGCTTTGGCACACAGAGAGCCCCCCAAGCTGTATCAGGCTTTTCCAAGAGAAAACCCGACACGACCGTTGGCTTCCAACTCAATGAGGGGGATCCTAAACCAGCAGATGACAGGAAGTGGTTTAGACAATACGAGTAGCTGTGCTGCTGAATCGGCTCAATTTGAGGAAGAGCCCTCGGAGTTATCCACTCTGCTCCCCGACGGTCTGGCTAACATCATGGCCATGCTGGATGAATCCATCAAAAAGGAGGAGGAGATGTATAACAGTGAAAAGGCCGGGTCCACGGGCCTCCTTGACAACTTTACTGCTTGTGTCCAGCCTATCAAGAGCTACCTGAGTGCCCCAGACTTAATTCCAGCAACAAAGCATCAGCACAACCAGGAAGACTTTGGATCCATTTCGCACTCCAGCCCCCCTGTGCTCAGTCGCCAGGGCTCTCTGGCGTCCCCTTGCAGCCGAACATCATCTCTCAACGAGGAGGAAGAGGACTACTCTAAACCTTATCCAAATGTCCATCTCCACCCCAATCGGCCGACGCACATGGGAGTTGGGAACACCAATTACCGCCACAGCGACTTAGCTAAACTATACGGCCTCCCCGAGCCGACTAAAAGTGAGGTTGACGACGAGGAAGACGACGAGGACTCTGAGACACCGTCTTGTTCTCCGCCACCTCAAAGACCCCACCTGCACCAAACAGGTGTAAACAGCACGTTTAAGTCCCTAGCGAAGGTCCCTGAAAGCCAGAAGTACGCCTACCGCGGCGGACCTTTTGGGAGGCCCCCTCCATCGGCTCTGCTTGGGCTCAAATATTCCTCGTCACTGTCCCTGGGCCCCGATATCTGCCGTCAGCAGCAAGGCAGTTCGCCAACGTCAGATTCAACCGACCCACCTTTTAATTCAGCTTACCCATCGCTGAAGTCCTCCCCTCCTCCTCTGCTAGAGGACAGAAAAGTGAAAATTGAAGATACTCACGACTGGAGAGATGACGCTGAGACAACAGAGGTCATAAACTCCAAAAACGAGAGTATTTCTGCCCTCAAACCCATCAAGGTGGTCAAAGAGGAGCCGCTGCTGTCGACTATCTCGAAATCTTCACTGGCAGAATTGGGCCAAAGCTGCGAGATTACGCTTAGTCGGCACTCACTTCCGAGCAAGAACTCCCTCGATAAAGTGGATGACCGTGACAAAGTGAAAGACAGACACAAACCTGAGAGAGAGAAGGAACACCGAGACAAAGATAAGAGGAAGCATGGTCACAGCAGCAGGAAGCATGAAGACAGGAAGGAAAAGAAGAAGCATAAAGAAAAGAGAGATGAGGCGACTTTCTGCTCTTCGTCATCCTCATCTTCCTCCACTCATTCCGGCCACAAACGGCACAAGGAGGGTAAGAGCCACAAAGAGAAGAAAGATCGGAGAATCCTCGGCGACCTCAACCTTCAGAGCAAGGAGGGATCGGAGAAGAATCGGGCCCATTATGACGCAGAGAAAATGAAGCGGACCGAAGCATCCGGTGCCGCCTCAACCAGCGAAGGGGAGCATTCAGAGTGGACCTCGAGGAGTTTGGGAGAAAGATCCTCTGAGGGCAAAAAAGACTCTGAATCTGGTTCTTCGCTGGGTTCAACGGACTTCTTGAAACTGAAAGCGCTGTCAGACGGGCCACCCAAAGAGCTGAAGATCCGCCTGATCAAAGTGGAGAGCGGGGACAGGGAGACATTCATCGCCTCCGAGGTGGAGGAAAAGCGGATCCCACTGGAAGAAATCACCATTACCAACTCTGCCAGTGAAATCATCAGGTCCTGCAAGTAGGTGGTCTTCCAAAAATATCTGACATGAAGTAGGCCCATCTTTTGCATACATCAGGTATGCATTCATTTGGAGCAGTACCTTCGAGGACAACTAACCATTATGTAGCACAGAAAGCAGTATTTTGTATATTTATGATTGCATCAATCAACATGCTTGTTTCTGTCATAGGGGGACCAGAGTGAAAGGGAAGTTCAGAGAATCTTACTTGCTCCCAGCCTTCTCCGTCAAGCCCATCATGCCCTCAGAACCCATCCCCAGAGAGAAACTCAACCCTCCAACACCCAGCATCTATGTATGTCACTCTACTTTATCCATTGTAACACAAATAGTATGAATTTAAATCTAGCAACTCAAGGAAGGGGATTGCCCTTTAAGGTTTAATCGAACATCCAAATGCAGCGTTCTTGTGGTGTTTTGAGCATGAAGACATATTGTTTCAGCATCTTTGGTCTGTATTGATGTATTCCTTCTATTCTATAGTTGGAGAGTAAGCGGGATGCCTTCTCCCCTGTGCTGCTGCAGTTTTGCACAGACCCCAAGAATCCGGTTACTGTCATCAGAGGCCTGGCTGGATCTCTACGACTCAGTATGTTTACACTTTTGATGCACTACATTTTTTAACAGGCAGCTCTCCTGATACACCTGCACTACAAAACACACAATCAGGGTCAGACCACATGAAGGCCTCATTAGAACACAACCCTCCCTATCAAAGCACAGCTTGAGATTTTCTAATTAAAAAAAGCTTTTGCTCAAAATGTTGACCCATTGGTTGTAATGTCAACGTGTCCTTTTTAGACCTGGGGCTGTTTTCTACAAAGTCACTAGTGGAAGCGAATGCAGAGCAGGCAGTAGAGGTGAGGACTCAGGTACAGCAGCCTGCCGATGAGAACTGGGATCCGAGTGGGATGGGCCAGACGTGGCCCTGTGAGAGCAGTCGCTCCCACACCACCATCGCCAAGTATGCCCAGTACCAGGCCTCCAGCTTCCAAGAGAGTCTGCAGGTAAGCGCTGTACTATCCCTGACACTAATAGGGATGTTGTTAAAATTCTAAGTGAGGATTTGGATGTTTCTTTATTCAAGATATTTATGTGTACAGTTTACTCCTACATCCACATACAGAAATTAACATATACACGCTAATGAACACATATGTGCTGATAAACATGTTGGGCTTTGTGTCTCCAGGAGGAGAAGGGCACTGATGATGAGGATGATGAAGATGACAAGGAGAAGGAGCCATCAACCAGTGTCGATACACCAAGCAAGGACATCTCTAAAGAAAGTAGCAGGTAAGGACACTGTGATAAGTTCACTAATAATATTTTGTAGTAATACTTGTAATAATATCACCATTTTCCTTTCCTTAGTGGTGAGCAGAAACCAGTCGGGAAGATAATTAAGTTTGGCACCAACATTGACCTCTCAGATCCCAAGAGGTGAGTAACTTCTAGTGGCAACACCAAAACACCTTTGTAGTATTTGAAATGAATATTGATGATCATTTGTGGCTCAGGTGGAAGCCTCAGCTGCAGGAGTTGCAGAAGCTGCCGGCATTTATGCGCGTAGCATCGAGCGGTAACATGCTGAGCCACGTTGGACACACCATCCTTGGCATGAACACCGTTCAGCTCTACATGAAAGTTCCAGGGAGCCGAACACCAGGTAAAGTCTGAAACAGGTGGAAGACTGCTTTAGTTGAAAACCACATGAAACGTACGTGAGAATATTATTCCTTTTAATTAACAGGTCATCAGGAGAACAACAACTTCTGCTCGGTGAACATCAACATCGGCCCCGGGGACTGTGAGTGGTTCTCAGTCCATGAGAACTACTGGCAGGCAATCAGTGACTTCTGTGAAAAGTGAGTTGACTGAGACACCAATATAAAATGCAAGGCGTCTTTAGAGCTTAGCATGGGTCATTGACTATAATGCTAGAAGTAAAAAAATCAGGCTCGCCAACGGTTGCGTCTCAATAGGCGTGACATTTGATTTCCTCCTCTGTGTTCAGGCATGGAGTGGATTACCTGACGGGATCCTGGTGGCCAGTGTTGGAAGACCTCTACAAATCAAACATCCCAGTGTACCGCTTCATTCAGCGGCCTGGAGATTTGGTGTGGATAAACGCCGGAACTGTTCACTGGGTTCAGGCCGTCGGCTGGTGCAACAACATCGCATGGAACGTCGGCCCTCTCAATGGTAACCAAATACACAACCCTTCGACAGTATTTTGAATCATTTGTAAAACAGTATTCAGCATTGTTTAACGTGTATCTGCAGCTTACCAGTACCAGCTCGCCCTTGAGAGGTTTGAGTGGAATGAAGTGAAAAAGGTGAAATCCATCGTCCCCATGATTCACGTGTCCTGGAACGCGGCCCGCACGGTCAAGATCACTGACCCCGACACCTTCAAGATGGTCAAGTAAGTACTAACGGACTGTAGCCGGTGGCATTACAGTGTGTACATGCGACAGAGGTTCAATGGTATTAAATCCGATGGAAGTTAATAATCTATTTGTTTGTATTCCTACCCTTTTGCCAGACACTGTCTGCTGCAGTCCATGAAGCACATCCAGATCCTTCGGGACCAACTGGTAGCTGACAGCAAGAAGTTATCTTACCAGAGTCGGGTCAAGGATGAGCCTGCCTACTACTGCAATGAGTGTGACGTGAGTAGCAATTACAAACTATACCTCTTCATCACGGACCTACTTTTGAATTGTATTAGATATAGCTCAAAGAAGCCTGCTCAAATTTCTACCTCCGTGAGAAGGTGTTATTAGAACTGGTCATTTAGGAGGCTGTAGGGTTTGGATAAAAGGTCCAAACTAAAGAGTGAGAAGTGGCCGATAGTTTAATACCTCCAGCGACAACAGTACACTGGTTAACAGAAGGTGTACAAAAAGCATCCAAAATGATTGCCGTGATAAAATACATGGTTGTTTTTGGGCTATTCTACAGGTGGAGGTGTTCAATTTATTGTTTGTGACAAGTGAGAGCAACAGCAGGAAAACGTATGTGGTTCACTGTGAGGACTGCGCACGTCAGCGTAGCCCCAACCTGACCAACGTCGTGGTGCTGGAGCAATACCGCATGGAAGAGCTCATGAACACGTACGACTCCTTCAATCTGGTAAGTGATGTGCCACTAGCTTCCCATTCATCCCAGAGACTCCTGAAGCTCCTTCCTGGCTCAGGTCAATTAAAATGTTTGTGCGTTGTCTCACCAGGCTTCCTCCCGGTGACAGAGCTCCGCTCCTGCGTCTCCTCAGCCGTAACCAAAAACTCCTGCAAGACAGGACAAAAGACAGTTTCACAACTTCACTTTTGCTACTACTGCGAACACTTGCCGAACAGCCAGTTGAATACGTTTACTCATCATCACTGTTTACAAAAAGAAATACCAGTTTACTCTCAGATGGTGCTTCTGACCAGACACCCACCAGGGGGCAGCTGGTGCTGCCACAGAACAAACATGGTTGTTTCAACAGACAACAACTTCAGCTGTTCCTGTTTTCTTGAACACTGAGATTTGTACATGCTGTTTGCAGTTTTTGTGGGGTGCTGTCTTTAAAAAAATAATTTATTGGTTTGGGTTTTTTTCTAAACTAGATATATACCACATTGGCCTTGTATTTAGAAATTAGACAAAATGAAAAATACTAATAGTTATGAACATTTTTCTAGAGCATTAAGAATTTTAAAAAATACAAATGTTTAGAATGCTTCTAAACATACGGGTTTTCATGACTTGTGTTTTGGGGGGGAGATTTTGTCTTTCAAATTATTGTAAATCTTGTTTGTATGAATTCTTTAACGACTTCTGGCGAATAATACGTTGTCACACATCAGGTTTTTTTATTAATTTCTTCCATCTCAGTATGGAGAATCTCTTTAAAAAGGGTTAAAAAAAAGTCTGCCATCCGGTGTTTGTGTGGTGTACCTCTGTTTTGTTTCAATATGCAGACTTAGGATTTCTTTGCATTGTACATTTAATTTAAAATGTTTCTTCTATTTATTGGATATAAATGGTTATACAATTTTGTGATTTATTTGTTTTCCCTTTTTTTTATAGCAAGAAATTGCCCCGTAACTGAAGTTTGGGGCGGCTGTTTCTCTGGTGCTCGTCTCTCGTGACCCCGGCCCTTTTCTTCTGATATATATTGAATGATATCTTTATCCTAAATATAACACCACGTTTCCCGTAGACAATAGGCACAGTGTTCACGTAGAGATGACTAATGGACTGCTGTTTGTATCAAAAACTGTTTCCAAAGTGTTTTTGAGAAATGGTCTTTTTTTATTTCATAGGGGCTTTTAGATGAGATTTTAATGATATCTGTTGACTATGATAATGGGATAGATGGTGCTAAATGTTCGCTTGAACAACTTCTTAAAATGAGAATTCTATTTTTCCTGTTGCAATATAACTTTATCATTTTTCTTCTCTTTGTGGTCATGTATTTATAACTGCACTGTTTAGAGAATCCACACATACTTGCAGACACACACACACACCAAACTGAGCCAGACGTCTTAAACATTTTGTGAATTTGTGTGACATTAATAAAATGTTTTGATAAATGCAAAAGACATTGAATTTTTCATTGACTATATGAACTGCAGGTAAGTTGTTTTATAAACAAGATACACCTCTACAGTCAGTGTTGTTCCTCATAAGATTACGCACACAAGTCATTACTCTACAATTATTTTCTAAATTCATATTACGTTGGAGAGAGAGCTTTGACTGGTGTACAGCGCAAATCAGATGATAGTTAGCTGTAACAGGCGAGCAAATAACATACTGAGGTCTCTCTTCTTCGTTATATTGAGTGTCTTGAAGCCCACTAAATGGACAAGATACTCGGAAACCCACATTTATATATTATAATACCATTCGAAACAAAGCTACAACCCATATGGGGCGGAGGGACCTTCAATGTTCCTGTTTCATCAAAGGGGGCCTCGGCAGAAATAACATACTAAACCAGAATAGTATACATTTTCCACATACTATGAGGACTTTAGTCACCTTACTATTTCACCTTTTTGGACAAAATATAGTAATTTTACCTTTTTTGATACTATCACTTGTCTACTTATAAGTTTCAACATACTTTATAAAACATTATTTCAACCATGCTGTGAATTCTTTAATACACCTTTTATTTTACCTACTATACTGTCACCATTTCCACATACTATACCATGACTATTACTTCATGCTATTATTATTATTATTACAGCACAGGTCTTAAAAATAGGCCTGAGAACGCTTTATAGTCTAAACATGCAACGTCCTGGGACCCTCACATTCAAAAGATCCTACTTTAAAAAAAAAAAAAAACTGAGGTAAGAAACCTTCAGGAGATTACAGAGCAAAATGTGTACAGAATAAAGAGCGTAACGCACCACAGCGTCATCTTTAGCCAACCATGAGTTAACATACTACGCAGTCTTTTCTTGTTATTCTCAACAATGTTTGATCGACAATGCTACGGCTTTGGGAAGTTCCCCCAAAGCTAGAATACCTTTACCTGTAGTTTATTGTGTAGTTTTTTTTTATACACATCTAGTATACGTATGTTGACATACTATTACAATTTTATTTTCCACATAGCATCCAGCTTTTATACCATAGTTTATTACTTTTCTTTAAATATTTTCCAGACTATTTCAAGATGGTACAATATGACTCCGACGTCTCTCAGTCAGAGTACGGTAACTCAAACTAAAATGCTTCATAGTATATTCTGAAGTCACAGCACAGTGTACCATGAAACCTGTTCCAAACGACAAAAATGCCAATTCAAGTCATGACAGCCTTGTTTTGGCTAAATTAATAAATTACAATACATATCCTATCAGCAACTATCATGCAAAAATTCAATATTGGCTTAAAACATGAGATATTAAATTGGAGGGCGAAGGACCGTTTACAGTACATAACAGTAATCTTTGACCGCTGATTCATCTCACTAGAACCAAAGACCTCGTCATATTGTCACAGCAGCCAGTACAGCCTCTGGTCTGAAACACTTCCAACTCGTAGCTTCAGTTAACGAGTGAAATTACAAAATTCGTACTCCAATGGCCATTTTCTGTGTTTAATCACATGTCCCAAAAAGAGTAAATATTTTTTTACTACACATCCCCTCGGTACCTTACGTCACTTTCCACTCTACTTCTACAATAACAAGTCATATCCCTTAGCCGTGCCAAACATTTTTCACAGCTTTGTCATTTGTGTCCCAAACTTGACCTTGCTATTGTTAGCAATGCGTTGAGGGGGGAAAAAAAGCTCTAGTCCATATGAAAGTTTCCATTTAGACAGCCGGGTCCGAGCTCAACTAAGGGAGGAGATTGAACTAGTGGCAGGCAGCACTAACAAGACTACTCAGTGTTCACTTTCCTCACTGATAATTCATTAAGTAGTCATAGTAACACCTTTAGACCAGCCATACTCTATTTTATTGAGTAATGTAAACTGTCTTGCTAACAAAGCCTTTTTACGTCATAGTGCAGAAAAGCCAGTGAAAGAAACTAGAAAGAGCATTTAAATGTCCTCTTTGCGCTATTAAAAACTTCGCCGGTAAAAAAGGGGATGATAATCTTGTCAAAGTGCCCATATTGAAAGTATACACATAGCCTAAACATCCAATAAGCCATTCCATTAGGGGCAAAGATTATTGGGTAAAATAATTTTAAGATGTGTTGTGTTAGTTTGTACCAATTACTTCAATACAATAAATCCTTCTTGTCGCCCCAGATATCTACTAACTTCGAAAGAAGGAATAAAAGAAGAGAGCCGTTGATGACCCTGAATGAATGATATTCAGTGTTCCCAGACAGTGTGACAAAGCACTGGTAGGTCACTGTGTCAGGTCAGGGGCCACGGGGCAGGCGGAGGGCCGCAGCCTTACTGGACAGACACAAGGAAATCCTGCTTCAAACCACACAGGAAGACGCCCTCCATTCGTATTTCTGTGCCTTCCACGTTGCAGTCAGCTGGTGTTGAGGAGGATGAACGCTCTTTGCAAAAAACTTTCACATTTTGCAACTAACTGCAATGACCTTAAAGCAACACCAAATTAATGACAGCAATGCCAACAATACTAAAATGATCACTATACAGAACTAATGCTAATAGGTTCCTCGCCTTTTACTATAAACCACAGTGTTATGGTTTGAACCAACATGCATTTCTTAATAGTTTAGATGCAGACGCCCACATGGAGGGCGGAAAAAGGAAAGTACGGAGACCAGCAAACAAACATTGCAATCTCACAGCAGCGGGAAAAGGGCAGAATATCAGGATCAGACAACACTAAATATTTAACTTATGCTCTGATCTTATATCATTTCCCCAATCTTGCCTCCAACATCTTTGTAGCTTTTACTTCTGTAAACCAGAGAATCCAAGCTTTTATCCAACAACATCTCCCCACAGCGTTTCAAACAGTGCACACTGACGTCTCTCGAGTGGCTTCACAGCTTCTCGTATGTTGAAATCGTGCAAATACTGTCATACCCGAGGTTTGACCTTGGATATAATGAATCAACGACTGAAACTCAAAAAGTGCATGTCGTTTGTTCCACTCCACGGTCCAAACAAACTTCCTTCAATTCCTGCAGACATTAACCTAATCCTTTTTTGTCTTAAATCAACCAATTAATCTCAATTACACAACCTTTAGTAGAGCTACACAGATGTAGTTAGTTTATCCATCATGGTTCAGATTTGTCAAATCCAAACAGGATGTTTTAGGGCATTTAGAGACGATGTCCTTCAAGGTGAGGAAATAGGCCTAAAATACTGTTTCCACTTCTTCATGTCCTTAAGTGAAGCCCTGTTGGCTCAATCTCAGGAACTAATGCACGCACGCAAAGCTCAACCACACATCAAATGGGATAAGTAGGATATTATAGGAAGTCTCACTTCAGCAAATCGTTAAGTTCAAAGAAAAATAAATCCCATATAAATCCCCAAATGCTTCTTTACTGAAGACATCTAAATCATAGCAAATAATTCAAGCTATGTGCAGTTAAAACAGTAAAAGTCTGAATAAAGATCAGCACACTATCATTTGCCAGACATGTCACTGCAATAATACCTTTTTTTCTTCAACACTAAAGCCTTTGGAATCTTTTACAACCAAGCATAACAAAAACGCACAACCTGATTATTCCGTTTAGCACCACTTCCCGTCTACGCTTAACAAAAGTCGGTCTCTGCTCCCCTTCCCCCTCATTTTCTGCTCTCTTAAATCTCAACTTATCAGGCAAACCGCCTCGCGCTGACCCCCAACATGCAACATGCACCCTGCCCCCACTGGAACAGAGACCGGGTAAAGGGGGGCGTAACATGTCCTGGATGTGTGAGGGGGAATGTGCATGCGCTGAGAGGAGTAAAGCAGGGACTGATAAGGCTTGTGGGGGGGGGGGGGGGGGGGGGGGGGGGAGAAAGTGGGATGGATGCAGGGAGTGGAGGAGGGAGGGAAGGAAAAACGGCACCGTGGACTCGATCAGATGGTGAGGTACAGCGGGGACGGCGGACGGACTGAACACAAAGACCACAGCCATTCCAGCCAGTCACAGCAGTAGAGGCATTTCACGTGGAAGAGAAACAGACTCTGGGGTATAATCAGTTCCACTGACAACTCTGGATAGTGGAGAGAAGAAGCAGCAGGAAGCCGACATACCACCATCAAAGCGATAAGGCTTTAAGAGGAGAACCCCTCCCCAAAAAAAAGAAGGTAACAACAGGAAAAGTAGCCCCGTTTTTGTTGAGCTGAAGGGACTTTGTTGAAGCGAAAGGGCCATTGTGTGTCCAGGACTGACTGGACAGAAAAGGTCTTGAGAAGAAGTGAGAAAAGCGGCAACAATCTGGAGAACGAGCAGCAAGAGGTGTACCGGGCCCCGCAGCACAACGTGAGTACAAGCGCATCACTCAGACACTCAGAACCTCGTCATTACCATTCAACCGCCGAGACGTCTTCTCACAACGCACTTCTCTGAAGGGAGACAAAAGGTCTGATTTACTACTGATGAACATAAAGCAACAAGTCTAGGTGGTCTGAGCGACATGGAATTAATTACCGCAGTTGCTTTGTTCCAGACAATAGAATAATAGAATGCTAGAACAATGGAAAATCTCCCTCCAGCATCCAACACTGAAGACTATTCTCCATGATGACATGCACACTGAGAAGCGTTGGGAATCAATCATGGGTTGAGGGACGACATGCCAAGATACGGCAGCCGAGTTGAGTTCATTGAACAATATTCCCAGATTTAGAATTTCTTAATATGCGTCAAACAATAGTATAAGTTTGATGCATTGTTCAAGAGAAAAGCTGCTCATACAGTGAGTAAAATGGGTGGAGAGCCTAAATGTATTTTCAGTAAGAGGCACGGTGAGTCGCGTCTAAAACACACGCATGGGCGCATGTACTTTCCTGCTAGTCCTTCCACCTGAAAACAACACTTGGAACAACAATGGGAACCAGGCGTGGAAAATAAACAGCACTCAAGCACAGAGGACAGCATTGTAAAAATAGTCTTCCGCGGTCAATTCAGTCAATGTGAACTGAAAGCACACCTTGCTTCTCATTTTGAAATGTAATCCTAAAATAGACGTTCGATCTCAGCTTCAAGGGCATATTTATCCAGCAAATGCACTTAAATGGGTAAAAGAGTAGCGTCTCTGCTCAGACAAATTATGTTATATCTCATAATAGTTTAAGCATCTAACAGACAAAAAGACAAACAACTATTGACGAAATGGTGGAGGCAGATTTTTCAATAAACATCAACCATCATACGCCACAACCAAGACAGGTCCTCCTTGGTCCTGCTACTTCAGCAACAGGTTCTCAAACATCAGAGCATCCTGGTGCCGTACATGGGCAAAGGGCGATGTCAATAAGTAATAAGAACCCATCCCGTGACCTTTACCACTAAGGGTAAAAAAACGTCAAAATAATCCATGCATGCCCCAAAAACAGCTGAATGTTAAAGACTGACAGGTTCACCGTGTCAACCCTTCGGGGATCTTTACACTGCTCTAGTTGTTTGGCTGCTGACCTGGTTACACAAATGTCCCTTGTCTAACGGAGGCCCCGCTGTGTGCCGACCTCTGAAAAGGACGGATATCCTTTACCAGACACAGCTGCAAACCACATAAAATGTGTCATAAAGCAAAATGAATTTTAACTATGGATGCTGCCGGCCCCCCCCGACAGCTGGCCCACAGATCTGTAGATGTTACGGAGTTAGATCTCTGGGACCGCTTTTACACAAGGGGCACAGTTGTGCTTCGCTATGAACCGCCTAATAAATGAAAGCTAATCACTAGCTAATCGGAATTTGAGTTGCTGCTGACGAAAGCCTCGTTTTACATACATGAATAATGAAACTGTGTTGATTATAATCTGAATTCATTGTCTCTGTCTCCCCTCACAAAATAATCAAGAACCAATAGAGATTCAATAAGGAACCAAAAGAAGCCCATCGATAAGCGCACTAGTGTTGACAAATCTTATTAATACCCAACCCTATTCCTAACTGAAGGACCTTGGATGGAAGCAGACTGACATGAAGATGCCACCACAAGAGAACCAAAGTGCCTTTGAGTTGAGTCTTGGAATCAAGCCCTGAACCAGGAAATGGTCAATTGGAACCCGAAAAGGCAAATCCAAAGGCCAGACTTTTCTTAATACTGTAGCCAGAGTACACATTTTCGATAAGAATGTATGGGCTATGATTGGTCATCATTTTTAACTTTATTATAAAAAAAAGTTTATATTTAATAAACTGAGGTGGCACAACCTCAGCATCAGAGTTTTGTTTCAATTAAATGCCAACAGTTGTTTGAGCACAGATCTTGTATTCCATCTGTGCGTAACTCACTGACATGACAACATCCCAAACATACACAAACAGACTTTGATGCCAGTAAGCCTTCATCTCTCTACTATATAAACTACTTTTTAGAAAATCAGTTCTCTGATAATCATCACCTCAGACAGCATCTCACAGGGCTTTCTTCCTGATGGATAAAACGTCTGAACTCTTACTGAACCAGGAGCAACTAAGCCTTCGGGGACTGGAATTTCATTGGGTACAAAGGCTGTTGTGTAACTTTGGATGAGCACAGTAGTCCGATGGCAGTCTCAAAAGAGCCGTTTATCCTCCAATTCACACCTTTCATCCGTTTACTTTTCTGCCCACAGTTCACTACGAGTATGACTGGTACTCTAGAGAAGGGGGCCCACCACCAGGCCTTAGACCTGTCTGAGGAACTGCCGCCGCACCACCACCACCACCACAACAGCCACCACCAGCATCTCCACCAATGCAACTCACTCGGCTCCACCACCGCCGTGGGCGGCGGCAGAGAGACACCGTCGCGTGTGGTCGTACCTCCTCCCTATTCTGCAGCGGAGAGCGGCGGTGGGGGCAGTGAAGGTCCCCTGGAGCTGCGGGGGTCCCTGGACTGCTGGGCCTGCTCCGTGCTGGTGACGGCCCAGAACCTGATCATCGCCACGATCAACGCCTGCCTCGCCGGACTGGTGTTCGGGACCGTTCTGACGCCGGCCATCGTCATGGTGACGTTCGGCTTCCTGTGCCACTCTACGGTAAGAGAGGGTGGATGAGTAAGTGGGAACTTTGAAGGCTTGCAGGATGCAGGATGCAGGATGCGTGGTGAGACGCTCCCAATGGAGCCGACTAAGGGGCAAGTCCAGGCATTTTGCAGTTTGTTTCCTTGACGCTGGTGCAGTCTTTGGTAAGAAGGTGAAAATGTTTTTGCATGTTAATGAGCCTAAACGTTTACACACATCGGCTACAACTAAAGGAAAAAAAACTAAAAGAAAAAAAAAGTATACAATTGGCCGTATCCATATTTTTATATAACATCTGAAAGTCCTAATCTCAAAAACTTTGATCCAAAAGATCCAAACAGTTGTGCCTGGGGCTTAGGGTGGAGTTTGGCTCCACCAGCGATGAGAGGCTTTATAATCTGATAAGTCGGTTCTTTCAGATGTAGAGGAGATGCAAGTTGTGCAGAGGGTGAGGGGGCACAAGGCCGAAAACTTTAAAAGACTATTGGGAAGCCATCCTGCGATTTAAGGAGTCTTGGGATTTGGTGGAATATTTTTTTAAAGTGCAGAATGTGATGAGAACAGCTAAAAACAGAAGACACGCAACTCAAACAAAATAACCTTCTGGACCAGTTATTCAGGAAACTTTAACCTGTCATCATGGTTCACAGACCTTTAATGTCGACCGATGGTATTTCTGCAGGCCGACGACCTCCTTAATGACCGAAGAGACCAGGATTCTCTGTTCCCCTGCTCCCTCACAATTTGGCCTCATGTGACAGCAGCTTAGAGGGATTATTAAGACCTGGGAGGATGGAAGAGGGGGAGAAAGCCAAAGGGGGGAAAAAAACAGGATGAGAAGAAAAGCAGATCCAGGCAGGTGAGCTAAGTATTTAGGGTTCTTCAAATTGAACAGGGGACAAAGAACATATTCCAGTCATTTTAGGAAACTCTGTTTATAATATGTCATCCTAAAACAAACACTATGTTTCCCATTAACAAAAAAAGGCACATTCCAAGAGGGCTTATTTTCTTACTCTTCCCCACACTTCCTCCCTCCTTAATGGGTTGCATTCCATCTCCAGCTGGAATTTCTTTGACCAGTGGTAATTCACCAGCCCTCAGGATGAAATCACAATATTTTAGTTATTTTGTGTCATATATGCTGATACCAAGATCTGGAAATTACCACTTTCAAGCTTTTTGCAACAGTTCAAGATCCCTTTTATTGTACAAGCACTCATAGTTCAAGCTCAATTTCCCCTTATAATCTTTAGGAAATCGAACATCTACCAGGATGAATACTTGTGTCTCTCCCCTCGGTGCTTTCTCATGCTCTTGAATGTTCACCTCAGCTCATGGGGCGATAAGGAGGAGTCAGCCCGGCTGTCTCTTGGTTCCTCTCCCACACTGAAACCCTCACCCATTTACCTCCGCTCCCACTTTGCTCGTATTCAGTTCAGCAACAAGCGTACATGCTTTGACATATGGTCTATATCAACAGTAGTTTCTAAAAAGAGTTATTCGTCAAATTTAATTTAATCACCTACTGATAAATTGTGCATAAGGGAGTGGGAGAGATCTCAGATTACCTAATGGTGTCGGTCCTAAACTTAACACACATTCCACATAGAGCACATCATCGGTTTTCCTTATCTGTTCTTGCATGCACTTCACAAAAGCATTTGAACCACCGGTGATCCATGTGAGCAAAGTCAACTCAACATACAAAAGCTATGTGCCAAAACAGTAACCTTTATTTAAATCTGCAGGCAAAGTTGCTCTGCCCCTGACATTTGACCTCAAATCCAGGTTTTGAAGGTTTTTTTCTAAGCTCACAAGATCATAAAATATTCATATTAAAACAAATATTGTTTTAGAAGGGTGCCCTTGAGCAAAGCCTTTAAATCTACTCAGATAGAAAATACTCAGACTGGGGTTTCGTTGTTTTGTTGGCAACTTGCAGGTAAGAACGTGAGCAACTCTCGTGACACATTCCTGAGAAAACACACTGCTCTCGCAACGACAAACTTGCCTCTCCGGCACCACGCTAAGGGTCTTCTTTCTCCCCTCGTCCCACCAGGTCCGCCCTCACGGGGCAACCGCCTACTGCTCGGACCTGCTGACCGACGGCGGCTGCGTGGCTCTGCTGGTGGTGGGCTTCCTCTTGGTCACCCCGCTGCTGGTCCTCGCGCTGGCCGCCTACTGCCGCCTAGCTCGACACCTCCAACTGGGCCTGTGCTTCATCCCGTACAGCCGGGCCGTGTACAAGAACCTGCCTGCCACCCAGCACCGCGGCCTGGGCACCAGCTGCTGCGGCGGCCGAGACGGTGGCGGAAAGGGAAAGGTCTGGGTGTAAGATGAAGAGAGGAAGGGGGGGGGGGGGGGAGACCATTTGATGAAAAGTATGGAGGGAACTGAACGAGAGAATAGGGTGGGGGCCGTATGGGATGATTAAAAAGCAATGGATGTAAGGAACAGAAAAACTGGCTGACATCCCAGGTCTTATCTTCAGAGCAACAATTGTAGAGGCAAAAAAAAAGATACATGGCGTACTAATGTATTAAAATAAAATACTAAATAATAATTACTAAAAGGTATTTGTTGCCATTATTCCACAGGACACCTTGTCCTCCAAAAACAGAGCAAAACTAATTACCTGTTAATGCATTCACCAGACAAGAGCGAGATTACATACATGCACATCAGGTCAAGTGAACAACAGTGGAAAAAGGTTGACATGATAATGCTAAGATGCTGAATTCAGTCAGTCATCTTCAAAGCCGCTTATCTACCATACAGGCGGCTGGCAAGAGACAAGGTACATGCTAAATTATTCAGGTTAATTAAAAAAACGAGTGAATAACTATGCAAATCAGAAGTTGATTAACAATGAAAAGAACCAAACCAAACTGCAGCAGTTAAAGAACGGAGCACCTTGGATACACCAAAGTGGTCATTATAAGGACAAAAGCATCTAAGCAGAACTGCTTTAACTTTAACCATTCTGAATAAACTCAAGGAAATAGTGAAATTGAAAAAAATAAAAACACGCCACAAATGTTTATATTGACACTTGTATCTCATCATCCTTATGTTAATCTGATTTTATTTTTTTTATATTTATTTCAAGTAGTTTTCTGTTAAGTAGTTGCAATTTCTCATTTTCTCATTTCCTTTTTATGAATAAAGTTTTTGGATTCAGCGGATGTTGTGTCTGTCCTGTATTTGGTGGGATGGATTAGTCCACTACATGGCTACTAGGAAAAGTGAAGGAACACAGTGAACAAAACAAATCAGAGCTTTACTGATTTCCTGTAGAAACACTGACTATTGTGAAGTGTTGCTATATTGTCATTTATAATGCATTTGGGTTAAAACATCCTTTGTAGCAGCTTTAACGGTGTCCCCCTCTAGCGGTGAAAGTCAATTAAAATAAAAAAGTATGGTTCATAAACATTTTAGCTTGTGATCTCATTGACCTCCATTTGCAGCCAATCCCAGGTTGCATCTGTTTGCTCGTTGGAAACAGGAAAACACAGAAACTAGACTAGAATGAACAAAAAACAACATTCATAACAAAGTAATGCAGCCAGAGCGCTTCCTGGTCACATGGCAACATCTTGTCCAATAGGAATTTACGAAGCAGAAACTCTTACTTTCTGAAAGAGAGACAGTGGTAACTTCTAGTTTGCACAAATCCAATGGCAACTGACCTGTAAATGCAATGCTCAAATGGTATAATAAGTCCGCTTTGTGATTATGATTATGTGATAGAAAAGTAATGTTGGATCATTTCAAAACAGCTTCAGTGCACTCTAGTGGAAAACAGAGGAAACTACACAAACTGGATCTCACTAGAAAATACGTTTCCATTGGTATTATCCCTAAAATCTGCTAAATAAGTATCATAAACGCCTAACTAATACAACGTTATTCCCAAAGAAGTGTATTTTTGGACTAAGATAATCATGAATTCACATTATTTATAGGGACTACAAAACCATCAATTGAATTTCCAACGTTGTGTTTGTATTTTTCTATTATTGCACGGCCATTTATTTCAGGTGCTTTCTTAAACTAGTTTACACGTTGTTGTTTTGTGTCATCCAACACTGAAAACTACAGTTGGTTATCATACATGTTAACATTTATTTAGTTACTCAAATAAGCCAAATTAGAAATCAGAGGAATCAAAATGACCCAATAGAGCAGTTTTTGTGCTGTATTTATGCCCCATGAAAGCGGTTTAATGAGGGGATCATATAATAAGCTGTAGAGCCCCCTGCTGGAAAACAAAAAACGCTGCCCACCCAATTTAATGCCCCTAGATTTCATTATCTTTATATTGTTAGAAACTATAGTTCACGAAGTGTTTTTTTTAATTCACCTTCAGCTGTAACTGTATCCACACAACATGTTTTTAAAAAGAGGGAACATTAATGAGCAAAAAAAGAGTCGGTTTAACGTTAATTTACCTGCGATGAACACAGCAGTCTCCTCCCCAAAACATTGAATTCTCTCCTTACGTATTCCACATAGGTATTAATAAAGATAGTATTGCGTTCATAGATTAATTAAATAATAGTGTTAAGTTTGCCTTCCCTGCGTTGATACTGGGTAACGCCGATTCTAAAAACTTAATTAATTCGCAATGAATTACACCTGCGCCGCTTCGCTGGTATGCAAATGACCCGGATGCTAACGAGCCCGCTAACTCCTCCCCCTTGACCCCTCCCCCTGACCCCGCCCCCATCCACACTCCTCCGAGGTTTAAGCCTATGCCTCCCCAAACTAATGATTCAAAATAAATCAATAAATATTTGTGATAGCAATTGTATGATTCCAATCATTACATACTTTTTATAGACAATATCATTGAATGTGTGAATTCTCCTGTTCAGATACGGAGAAAGACGCAAAGGGAATAAAAGTCTCTGCCCGTCCCCTCACCGCACGTCACTGTCCGTCAGTCAAAAAACACTCTGCAACCACATGGCCTTGAACCAGAGTCACACCCTGAACCAGAACAAGTTCCACAAGTTTAGGGTTCAACGGGACTTTCGTACTGAATTGCACAAACCCAAAAGCTTTAGCCCATTTCTAGCTGGGGCATCAGGGCAATGTAAGAGAGACGCTCACTCCGTCTGCCAACGTCTTTCAATCCACAGAACTGCAAAAAGAGGCGTTTTTATTAGAATTAATTAATTACAGGAGTCATTAATTAACGTGCCAGTTGTTTGTTTTCCAGCGTTTGGGGGTTGGTCGACTTGCCAGACAGCCGCATTAACGTGTAGAAGACCTATTGAAGGGGAATTTTCATAACATGTCCCCTTTAACATGCCTTAAATTGTTATGCACAACACAATTGTTGTGTTGTGTTGGGTGAAAAGCATGGATTGAAACAACATCACACGTGTGGTGATCTAACATGTTTGTTGTTGTTTTAAAAAGGCCTTTAAAGGTTGGGTTTCAACCAGAGGAAATTGACCTCTTGAAGGACAGACCAGTCAAACTGCTGCTGGGTATTTTGATTTCTAATCCGTGGCTGCAAGTTTAGCCAGGTAATACCTGTTAAGCCTCTGGGATTGAAGAAGGTCAAGAGAAGAAAGAAGAAAAAGAAGAGACAGGATAGTGTGCAGCCTTCCACAACACAAGCGGAGCACCGCTGAAGCAGAACGAGAAGGGCTGGACCGCTTGTTTTTCTTTCTCACCATTTAGGAGAGGGAATACAGGTAAGCGTATTCTAGTGAAGTAACTGGATTTATATTCAAGATGTCGCAGTTCAAAGATTTGCAGAAAAACGGGAGAAATTTACATTTGGTAAACAAGGCGTTTCCTTTTGCTGCCCATAACACATTTAAAACGTTTAACATATATATAATTTACTGTCATTTTGGGACCCATATCTTTGTTTAACAACAGCATGCCCAAAGCAGGAGAGAGGACACCCTCTTCCACTTCTGTTGACTCGGCTGCAACGGACAGGTAAGTTCAGTTTGTGAGTGTGACAGAAAGCCCTCTTTCACCTACAGCCAACATGATAATACCAGAAATACTATAAGCATGGGTGTGTCGTCCTGGTCTGAAGTAATGCGAACTCTGCTGGTGTGCTTTCAGTGGTTGAGATGAGTTTTCTCTCAATAAAATAACCAAATGATATAAAACTTGAACTAAAAGAAAGGCTGAAGTTTCTTCAAATCTCAAATGGCATTTAATCATATGCATTTGCCGTTTTGCGGTTTGTTTGATTCGTCCATGTAGTGCCAAAGATGAATCCGGTTCAGTGTCAGACACACCCAGAAAATCATCAAAGAAGTCCAAGAAAACACCTGATAGCATGAACAAAGTCTACAACTCTGTACTCAACAGTGTTTTTGGGGCGGTAAGTAGCGAACACTCGCTTGTTGTGGCTCAATCTGCAGAGTGCAACTGGAGGTGACCATCTTCTTTGTGGCTGTTGTGTGACCTTTGACCAATACTCATGAAAAAGTTTAAGTCATTCCTACTAAATGTAGACAAACTTTTTTTTGTTCACCAAGCCTGACTTGATCAACAGCTTAAATGACTAAAAGCTAAAGCCATAATGTATAAAATGCAGTGAAGGCTTTTTGTACGTCAGACATTATAACGTCAGAAGTGAAGTAGAAGTCAGGCGTTGTGATGACAGTTCCGTTCCTGATCTTTCTCAAGCTGCTGTTCTAAGCTCGGTGTTTCTGCAGCTTTAGTGGCTCATTAGTTGAGGCTTAATGTCACACTTGATTGTGGTTATCCAAATGACAAGCACACTTCCATTTAACCTGAGAATATGTACCTGTTCCCTTGTAGATACGGAAACCGATTCTGTCTACATTTCTGACATCAACAATTGTAAAACACAGGCCAAGTGCTCACAAAGGCTTGACATTAAGAGCAACGCATTGATTTAATCAAAAGTTAGTACTATGGTTCTTCTGTAGCATTCCCACAGGTCACATCATTTCAAACTAATAAAAATGGTTTAACACGTTCTTTTATGCATCCGTTTCTGCAGGAGAGAGAATTAGCTCAGGGCGAGTTGGACGGTAAGTGTCTCTGCCGTCGCTGTCCACGTTTTAGTAGATTACAGTCTATGCAAGTATTAGCATGCTTATGCATCTTGCTTAGTAACAGTAGAAAGCCAAAGTAATTATTTGACCTGATGAAGCACGTCTGGAACGGTTCCAATCACAGAGTTGCACGAGGCCTTTAAAGAGTTTGACTACGATCAAGACGGATACCTGAACTACAAGGATGTGGCTGAATGCATGAGGACGATGGGATACATGCCCACGGAAATGGAGCTGCTGGAGATAGTTCAACAGATCAAGATGAGAAGTGAGCGAATAAGATACCTTTTTAAAGAATACAGAGAGACCAAGCACAGCATGGCTAGAACATACTTTCATCTCTCCTCTCCAAAGTGGGCGGGTTAATGGATTTTGAAGACTTTACCGAGCTGATGGGACCCCGGATGATGGGAGAGACCGCTGACATGCTGGGGCTCAAAGAGCTCCAGTCGGCCTTTGTGCAGGTCAGTCACTTCAAAATGAAACAAATGGGAGGGAAAACAATTTATTATGAGCTCATATGAAATCAGACCGACAAAGCGCTTTAGTCGAGTTGTATATAGGACTTTCATCCATTATGAGCTATTGAAATTTGCAAAAATCTTTTTCTTAGTTGTCAACTCACTGCATCACTTTGTGTTTTTAAAAGTTTGACCTGGATGGAGATGGAAGGATCACCCAGGACGAAATGAAGGAGGCAATCAAGTCGATGCTGGGTGAGAAGCTGAAGAAAGGGGAACTAGAGGAGATCATAAAGGAGCTGGACATTAACGCAGATGGAAGTATCGACTTTGAAGGTGACAATAAGGAGCACAGTTATACGTTTGACTTGATGACCGTGTTTTTGTATTAATTATTAATTGTGCATGACATTTCCTGCTTATGTACTAAGCACTGACTCCACTTGCTCATCTGTTTTCTCTCCTCCTCTTCAGAGTTTGTGATGATGCTCTCCATTCGCTAGCTGTGGAAATGACAGCAAAAGGACATACAACCGCTTCCATAGATAGTTAACACAACTACCATGCAATAATGACAATACAATAATTTATCATGGGTATAGACGGATAATGTGTGCCTAACTAAAATAACTTAAGAATTTATGAATAGAGAATTGTTAAGGGGGGAAAATACTGTGAATGCTGTAATTTTGGGAGCTACGTGAATGTTTTGCAGTAATATTATATGTAAATAAGAGGTCTTTTAATATTTTAATAAAGAAATTGAAACTATGAGTCTTGAAGTAATCAATGGACTGGTGACATTTCAACCTTTCAAACTGACAATTCCACAATCAAGTAATTTATTAACTCCAGGTTACTGTCAAACAAACACGTAAAATGGAAACCATAAAAGCATTTATCACGATAATAAAAGTTAAATATAAATTATATTCTTGTCGGTCAATTGTTAACAACAATGCAGCTTTGAGCTTTGTCAGGTCTACGGCCTTCAGAGTGGGAGAAACATTTGCAAATACTACACCACGGTGTAGGTGTGGGAGAAAAACACACATTTCAGAATAAAATCCCCCATTTGGCCAACGTGTTAAAGTACAGCTCAACACTACTGAGAACTTTATGTGTTTGTTATTATAACATCAAAGTATATAATAAACACCTTTGACGTGCAGCAAGTCTCTGTTTTGTATTGTAAGACCATAATTTGAAAAATAAAGCCAGAAGTTACTCTGGCTACACACGCTTTTAAACTATACACAGTCAAAAGGTTTGCGTGTCAATGTTTTCTCTCAATTCAAAGTAAAATCCTGAGCACAGGATGTACCACACCAAAACACCCTAATATCATCAGATAAGATCAGATGAAAACATCTTACACCAATCCGATCGACTTCCGTTTGTGTTCTCGTTTGGTCAGTACAGCATTCGTGTGCTGACCAGAAACCGTTTATTCAAGCAAAACTACTTACTACTGACTTGCCTGTTTCTTCTCCTTACAATGGAATGTTGGCTCAATTTTTTGGAAAGTTTCTGACGATCACAAACACTATCCAAAGAGCAGATTTAGTAAACGAGTGTATTTAAGTCTTCCTAGAATGTGAGAACAGCTAATTTAAACATTTTGCAGGGCTAAGAGGGTGCAGGCGTCCCCGGGATGAAACACACTGTCACTGGATGAACTCACAGTCCTGTGCTGTAAGATGATGCTCAGCAGCAACGTCTTTGGTACAACAACGCATGTTGTATCACCACCACAAAGACATTACGAAGAAATTCAGCAGTTTGTCACATTAAGCTGAGGAGTATTTGTGGCAAGATTGGACCGGAAGTCCCACTGCAGTCACCCAAAATCACATCACGGCATCCCTCCAAAAACACAAGAAGCAAGCGGCTAAAGCTCCGACTCCGATGGTGTTTCTGTTAATGGCAGTCTCTAAACGCTCTCCAACCTTTCCCTTCTACTCGTAGCTTCTCTTTCATCTTTTCTTCTAGTCCACAAGGTGAATACATATTCAGATGGAGAACCTTCTTCTATTTTATCCATCCACAGATCACAGCGTCTTCATTGAGCAGAAGGAGAGGGCTGTGCTAGATCTTCTATTGTCTACGGCTTGTTGGTCGGCTCATCAGCAAATTCCGCCATGATGTCATGCACCCAGATGTCCCTTTCTTCCTGTGAGGTGTCGACCAGGAAGACGACCAGCTTCCTGTCCCACGGGTTAGTGGCTTCCTGTACAGCCTCCAGCTGGGCCACCAGGGGTTTCTTCTCCACATGGTTCCTGAAAACGATAGAAGCTTCCTCTGACCACTGCCTCGGCTTCAGGCCTGCCCGGGACAAGTGTGAAGGTTAAGCTTGCCTTTATGTTAACGACATGCTGAATTCATTGTTTAATGCTGCACAAATGAAAAGCTTTTGTAGGCGTTTTGCTCGCAAGGCTCATAACTTTCTGAAAGACGTATTGCAATTATTTTCAAAATCTTGCTTAAATAATAGTCAATGTATGGAATTGATTGTCAAGCTGTTCTGTTACTCAGAGTGAAAATACCTGAAAGGTGAATGAAACCTTTCCTGAAACTTCAATAACCTTCAGTCAAACTAGACATATTTCCTCATTGTCTTTATCACTCTAGTTCATTTACTTTACCTATTAACTGCTTTTATCCCCTTACTAAATATAAAAAACTACTTCCAGCGTACTTCTGTATTCCCTAATATTTACAATTCTGGCTTGTAGATGGAACTAGTCGGGTTGAGGGATGATTGGGGGAAGATTGCACATTGTGCTTCTCTATCACAGATGTGCTCTCTCAAATTGACATATTTATTTGGCACTCTAACCAATTTCTTGGAAATATGTTGTTAATCTGTTTTAAATTAAATAACAATATTCTTGGGAAAAATAATCTACATTATGAGTAAAAAAACGTATCAATGATGATTATAAGTATCTTGTATAAAGTAGTTATAATAGGTCAGTTTTTTTTATAGACATGCACTGTAGTTTATAAGCTCACCATATGTTTGATACGTATCTGTAAATATAATTGAGTAAGTAAAATATCTGCCTTTAATATTGTAAAGTACATTTTTGTAATAACAGCAAATAGAAATACCGAATTGAAGGAATAACTCACCTGCCAGCTGAGCAGTGATTCCCTGGAACGGCAGCTGTCTGAACTCCTTGATGAGAGGTCGCAGCTGTGTGCAGCTGACCAGCTCATGTTTGCCGTAGTCCAACTCGTACACAGACACCGACCCATTGCTCAGAACCCCCTTAACTAAAACACGATGCCAGCTGAGAGAGGAAGGAAGGGGGGGATAGATTTAGGCAAAGTGTGCTTACCTTTCATCTTATCTTAAATGAACACTGCAGCCTTAAGGCTCCACAAATCAGTAAGGGTAACACACCTGTTCTCTATTTTAGCAGCATATATGTGATTCTTCTCAATGTGTGCGAGCGGTTTCTCCTCAGTTTTACTGTAGTAGAGAATCATCTCTCCCATCAACACAACCAGCCTGTACATGTCTCTCCAGGGCTGCAGCACAAAGTGGCCTGGATGGCAGGCCACCGACACGTACACGTCTATGTTGTTTCCTAACAATACACACAGACGTATACGTGAACAGGGATTTTCCAGGCTACAGAAAGGCCGGAGGAGATTTCCACTATTTGTCTTACCTGCTGGGGGAAACTCTAGTAACGGCGGCAGCTGGAGAGAGGATGAGGGGGGTGACGGTGCCTCTGGTGGGCTGGTGCTAGTCGTGTTGCCTCCTTCACCTCCTCTGGGTCCTGATAGAGCCCTCCTGAGATGAGGCCGGCCTGGGGAAGAGGTTGACGTCAAACTCCCATTGCTGTGGTCCCCAGAGCTGGCAATTCTAGAGGATGAAGTGGTTGTAGAGATTTTGGCAGGGCTGTGAAAGTAAATCAACAAACATACCGGAAATTTAGTGAATAAGATGGCTTATGTTCATGTATTGAGGGGTTAATAGAAGTGAATCTCATGTAGCGGTCACCTGTGGCTCGTCAGGAAAACATCAGGTTGCTGTCGGAACAGGTCAGACTGGCCCATCTGATGGTTGAGGCTGCGGGCAGCGTCATGGAAGTTCTTGTCGGTGAAGAGGTGGACGTAAGTGCAGCGCTTGGTTTCATCAACCTTGGCAACCTTGGGAGAAAATGTCAACATTATTGTGGAGATGCACGGGGAATAAAAACCGAGGAGGCATCCTTTTTTTTTTCTGAAACAAAATACATAATAATCGCATTCCTAAAAAAGAAAAGAAACTGTTGATGATCAAGTAATACACAGCAAAGGCAGCAAATACCTTCATGCTGCAGTCCGTGATGTTGAGCACTTTCTCTCTAAGCCATTGGACAGCATCTGGAGTCCAGGATCCAACACTGACTGCCAAGTCCGCTAGACAACACTTTACAGCCTGAACACGCGTTGCCGTCAAGTCATTTTCTCAGATACTCTGTAGGACTGAGGCCTAATATGAACTACTTTCAGCAGAGTATTTAAGTGTCAAAGACATAGCTCACCTGTGGTGGGATGGCCATGAGGTCACGGAGGAATTGCGGTGGGATCTCTCTGAGCTCGAACACCTCTACGGAAGCCTGGACGCCAACGTCGATGAACAAGATGTCCAGCACTCTGCGGCCATGCAGGTTGGTGATCTAAAAGGAGAATTTTATAAGGAATTATTTACCGCAAAAAAAATAATGTCACCAGAATGGAACGGGAGGAATATAATAGTTTGGGTGTCGCTTCTTTTTAACATTCACTCTAAAGTAAAGCATGCCTCCGCAACTGCGAATGTGTCTTTCTCCTTTTTGTTTTTAAAAACTCACTGTCTTATTCAGCGCTATCTTACCTCAACACGGGACCATTTGCCTTTGTAGCGAGCCACACACACTTTACCACAGAAGGGGTTTGATACCAGGAACTCTGATGTTACCTGGAACAGAAAGAAATGAATCAGGAAACCAGGACCATCAGATTTTAGTTCAATCTGACGGTAAACCGGATGGATTGGGGAGGTCACTGAGTAGGTGTAACTGCTGCTTCATGACTGCAGTAAAAGTTATTTTGTAAAAGCTTTCCGAAACATTTCACAGGTCAGCCCAGTCTGCTGCAGGTGTATACTAAAACCAAAGATACCAAAGATGATCATTTTAGAACAGAGGTTACCTGAAATGGAAACACGCTGTTGATGTTAAAGTAAATAATTGAATCATATATAATAATCATTTAATTTAATCCTACATTCATTCACAGTTGATTCATGACAATTGCAAGTCTCTTGTGTCAAAATACAATTCTGGACTTCCTACTGTGTTTATCCAAACACAGAGTTAAAGCTGCAACTATGAGCTTTAAAGGCATACCGAGAAAAAGCAGCAGCTTCGCTGTGCTGCTAACAGATTAAGTGGCTTGGCAAGATTATCAAACTAATCTCAACCTGTCAACAACTCTGCCTGAAAGAGGAAATACGGTCCAGATACATTCACGAAAGGCTTTAAGACAACAGTGTGAGTTCTTTTCTCTGTACTCAAATGGCCTCCACAGTCACCGCAGCTCTCCACCACCTTTGGGGTTTGGTGGAACGAGGGATTCGCATTGTAGATGAGCAGCCGACAAATATGCAGCAACTACGTGATGCTATCATGTTGATATGGACCTCTGAGGAACGTTTCCAAAACCTTGTTGAAAGTAACCACGAAGAATTAAGGCAGTTCTGAAGAAGATGGGTCCAACCTTTTACTAGCAAAGTTTCAAAAGTCCCTGAGACATGAAATGAAAGAGGGTGTAAACCTGTGAGTGGAAGTACGCCTCTATGTTCTCCAGTGTCTCATTCAGCTTGGCAAGGCCTCTGGAGGGCAGCTGACAGTAGATGGTCCCATCCGAGCAGACGCTTCTGACAGTCACGTTCATATAAGCGCTGTTCACCTTACAAGAGGCAGGAAGAAGAGTTTAGTGTGCTGCACACAAACACACACACACTGACCACGCACAATCACAACGTCTGCCCTCCTGTACCTGTAACGTGCTGGTAAGCGTCTTGTCCTGCAGGGCTTTCATACAGGCAGAGTTGATGTTGACATCATCATCCTGCGACGTGTCATACAGGACGGCGACAGGGGGCTGCCCTCTGTCTATGATCTCTGCCAGTAGGATCTTTCCACTTGCCATTGTCTCAAACCTCTTTAGCACAGCAGGCTCCTGACAGAATGGCTCCAGACCTGAACACACAAAAAACAGTTACACACAACAACAAAAAACAAGCAAAAAAGTTGTGTTTTGTTCCAATTCAGACTAACCTGCCAGTTTACATTTGGTTGCCTGGAACGGCAGTTTGAAAAACCTCTCATGCAGCTCCAACACTTTGGTTTTGCTGATGACCTCTGAGAAGCCGTGATCCACGTAGTGCACCTACAGAGGTGAAAGACGTAAAATTTGGTTTTAATTAACTTGTTTTGGATCCATCACTTGGCATTCAATGGCTAGTTATTTCCTTGAAATCTCACCTTGATCCTGTCAGCCATGACCTCGCACACCTGCCCCCTGAGGATCTCTTCCTCCTCCTCGGCCCGGACAGCAACGAGCTGGCCGGAGGACGGAGACGACAGGGGGGTTGGACGTCTTTGGTTAACATCGTAAAACACCCTCATTTCATCTTCCATGGACTCCTGGGCCAGGGAGTAACCCTCCCCAATGTACCTGAGTGAGGAGAAGGGATCAATAGAGAGAATATCTGAATAACTGATGAGTCTTACAGTACATTCCTACCGACGGGTCTCCTACCTACCGGATTATAACTCCATTGGTGTTGGTGGCCTCCACCACAAGCACAGAGGGGTACTCCTCTTTGGGTATTTGCAGAGAGGGCACTGCGTGGTTACTGAGCCTCCTCCCCAGCTCCTCCCTCACCCTCAGCTCCTCCTCACTGGCTGAGGACATTCTCCTATTACAGTTCTCATTTTCTATTCCTTCTCCACCACCACCACCACCACTGCTGCTACTCCCCTTGTACAAGATGGCCCTCTTTGGGTTGTCAGGCATCGGGTAGTCGATAGTGCAGATGCCAGAGAGGAGGTGAAGGTTTTCCAGAACATGTCCGGGAAATTTGAACTTGGAAATAAATAAAATTGAATATATATATATCTTTAAACATATCAAGCACACCAAGCTCCTGAATTGGGCAATTCCCATAATATGACAGTGTTTCAAATTATTACTGACTTTGTACGTGTCCTGGAAGAGCTTGGGCAGCGCGTGGGCCCACAGGCCATTGGAGTACTTCACCAGCAGCTCCTCCAGTTTCAGCTTCAGGTCGGGGCTCAGGGTGCCAGGGGAGGAGGGAGGACTGGGGGACGAGGAGGATGATGTTGTAGTCCGGGGAGAGCAGGAACCAGAGTGAGTCAGATGGGGGATGGAGGGTGTCCTCTGGGTGGGGGACTGCACAGGTTGGTCTGTTGGGGTGCTGGAATTGGGCCCGGGGGCTGAGGGGGAGTTTGGGTTGAGGATGGGCGGAGGGGAGGATGTGCTGGTCTGTTCCTTGGCAGGGTAGAGCAGCAACTCTGATGGGTTGCTGCTGCAGGTTTTCTCTACCTAAAAATGATATATTATAAAACATAATATGACTAGAAGGTCATGACATTGTTGCTTTTGACATATCATCAGAATTGGTATTAATTTGGTGTGAGCTCTTGAAATGCATGACTGCCAAGCACCAATACGTATAATTGATGAAATTGTTCTTTGATTTTTAAATTGTGCGACATAAATAAAATCAACTGAAGCATTCTGTGTTCTATGCAGAGCTCTGTGGGTCCTCGTTTTAGGACTTTTGGGGTTTTTTTCTGAAAAACACAAGGTGATAAATAGCTGCAGCTATACACATACATGTTCTACATATGATATAACTTACATATATATATATATATACATATATATATATATATATATATATATATATAAACAATGTACATTCTAAAAAGACAAATACAATTATTTACAAGAAGAAAACATAATAAAGATGTAATAATGCCTTTGATTATCCCCAAAGTATCAATTTATCCCAAATGCAATTATGAGAGAAAATGATTTGACATCATTCTTATTACAATAGTAAAATTCAAACAAATAGTTACAGTAACATAGGGCATACGTACAGTGCATATGTGTATCCAGGTCTCCAAGTCTTTAAAAGCCTCAGTGGGCATGTCCTGTTTGTACAGCTCCCTGTAGATCTGCGGCAGCTTGGACACCCAGAACCCGTTGCTGTACTTCCCCAGAATCTCACTGATGCGCCGCTGGACCTCCTGAGGGTTGTAGGGCTTTTCTTTCCCCGAGTTGAGGCTTTCGTTTGGATTCAAGGGTGCTGCAGGGTTGAAGAAGAAAAAACTAAGGCGCGTTTTGGATGTTTGCAGTTATCCAAGTCGGGGGGGTTAGGTTCATTTCTGCTCGTTTGAAGGACCAAAAGTTACTGTATTTTTAGCATTATGAAAAACAGCCTCCTACTTACGGCCAGTCGGTTGGGGGTTTCTGGAGAGGTGAGCATGCACCTCCTTCTGGAACCGTGACGGGAGGGTCATCCTCTTTTCTGACCTGCACACGAGTGAACAGAACAAGGAGGAGGATGACTTGTTATTGCTCTATGCTGCATTTACAATCATTTATCAAAGAATCATAAAAAAAAAGACGCTGGCAACATCTCAGTCTAAGCAGAAAATCAGCTTCACTGCAAGACTGTTGCTTTTTTGCCTGTCCTACAACACAAACCATTAATCAAACTGTCTTCACACCTCTTCGTACCTCTCAAACAATGGGCCGTGGGTACAGCATACTAAGTACTGCATTGCACTGTAGATGCTATTGCTCAGACTTAGTCAGCAACAAACTGAGAATTTATTAAAAGACTTCTTGTCACACATTTCGTTCTGACTCTGCCTGTTCCCGTCTACGGATTCTCTGCCTGACCCTCTGGATTTGTTTGCCTGCTGTTTGCCGGATCTCACAGTTTTGACCTTGCCTGGACTCATAGTAAGGCCTCCTGTCTCCCTCATCTCAGTCGTGCTTTTAAAACAACTTCTTTGTTTAAACATTCCTCCCAATTCCCGTCATTTAACGCTGACTATATTCCTCATGTCTCCTGTCTTCTCAATCAGAACAGAGTTAAATTATTCTGAAATATTGAATCAAAATTTGTATTAGGTTCGGTAATTTAAGGACAATTTTCCTTTGGTCTTTGGCTAAGAAGAGAAAGTCCTAAAAGTAATTGAAATATCGCTATATGGACTACTTCTGGTGAGATATGTGATGCAAGGGAAACTCCCAAAATTGCAACTGAGTGCATCTTGTGGGACTTTATTTTGTAGATTACGCTCTAGAATATGATTAAACATTTTTTAGGACACTGTTTAAATGAAAATATTTGGATTTTACATCCATTACTGTAAAATAAATTACATAATAAATGACCTTTAGTGCTACCAGCCTGTCACACAACTACCCTCGTACTTTCTCTCCCCAAGCAGACACATGAGCACATTCAAAACACTTTTTATCTGCAACATCTTCAAGACCGGTACGCAAAATGTTGTCTAACATGAAACCGGTCTGTGAGGCAAAAGCGTTTTGGGACCGCTGCCATAGTACACCTGCAGGCACACAAATGATCCGGCAGCGAACTGTCTAATGGAAGATCCCGAGGGAAACAGAGAGATCTGCTGATTCACTCTGTGTTGGTTTAGAAGTGGTAATCTACCAGAGAATAGAGCAGGGATTAGAAAAGGCTCACGTCCCCCTGCTCTTGGCTGGTGAGGCCCGCCAACACACCAGGCGTCCCACCCAGCCGTCCCATTGTGCTGCTGAAGGCCAGCGGCCCACTGGACCGCCATGGTGACACTGACAGAGGACTGATGTCAGTGGTTTTCACAGCGGATGGACAAACAGGGACTCGGATGGATGTGAGGCAGATAGATGATATCTCACAATACCTCTAGATGGCCTCTACAATAATATATAATCAGGTTTTTCAACTCATTCCAGGTGATGGTGAATGACAGTAGACATCTGAAGCTATAGTCTATTGGAATAAGTATTGATTTTAGAATAGGAGAAATAGATCCGGCTCAATTACTGGAAAAGGGGAAGGTCATTGCATTGTGAGCATTTACACAGTGTCAGAAAGAGAGAACAATGATGGGTAGAAAGATGAACAACGGAATATGCGAAACACGTAGACCAGGCGGCAATGGGAAACACAGGAGTGACAAAGTGAGAGGAGGAAAGTTAGACAAACAGAGAGAGAACCAGAATGATCTAGAGACAACATCATCAGTCCAGTGCTGAAAACACAACTGCAGCGAGGCGGTTTGCACACAGAAGCCATCAGAGCTAAACCAGACTACCTTTCACCAGCAACCTATTCAGATTCAGCTCAGACCACATACATAGGAGGAGACGAGGGGGACAGACTGAGAGATGACGAGACAAAGAGACAAAAGGGAAAGACACAAAGAAAGAATGGGTGAAATAATGTTGCATTGCAGAGAGGTAATCTACAGGTCATGTTCTGGCATTATATCAAGCTTTTATCATAAACAGTGTGGACGCCTGCTTGGTCCACATGCAGCATAATTAATACAGTGTTACAAAAATCCCACGAAGAAGTGAAGCGTCAGCATTGGAATGTGGCCTTCCAAAGGCCTGCGACAAATCCAATTTGTTTTCCTTTTGGTTTATATGTGGAAAAGGGGATTGTATTTTTGTCTTAAGCACCATAAAATGATTTCAATGAATCAACTTATTTTAAGTGAAGAAACAGTGTTTAGCTGCGTACTTCTCGGCAGGTTGGTTCTCTTTCCTGTTGGGTGTGTTCTGATGCATCTTGTTCGGATGGGCCCCAGTCTTGCCCTCTGACTGGCCATCCCTCATATCCCTGGCCTGTCTGAAGTCTCCATGCACCCCACCTCGGCCTCCTCCTCTAGCCCCACCTCGCCCGCGGTGGTTCGGCTGTCTCAGAGAGGTCTGAGGTTTGGCTACACAGAGAAAGAGAAAGCAAAAGAGAGAAAAGAAAAGTGAGACTATGGACTTCAAGAGCACACACACACACTCTGACTCAGCTAAACTCGATGCTGAGACGGGGCAGTGTGTCTGTCCATATGTGTAGAAGCAGCAGAACTGATGAGCCAGCAAGCACCGATTACACAATATTGCAAATTAACAGTCAACAGCTCCTCTGTAGCTATATTGCTGGATTTGTTGTTAAAGGGTAAAAGAATTGTACATGTGTACAACACACATCAATGCTAACTCCCTAGAAATATTTTTTTCTTGAAAACTCTTTCAACCAGGTAACATCAGCATCACCAGTAGAAGGATTATTCTTATGTGGTGGCAAAAGCCAGTAGCTGACATCTGTGATGTTCACATTATGTTCACTAAAAGGCAGGGAAGTCAGAGACCAAGTATCCTCAGACCATCCATCGCTGGGAAGTTGCATCATTCAAGCATCGGGCTTGGTATGACATCACCCCACGCCATTTCTTCTTTTAGCTCAACTCTTTTCCTCAGCGAGATCTAGAACTTTCTCTTGCTTTCTTTTCTTGCTGAATCTCCTGGAATCTTTCCAGTGAACAAACTCAACGAGCAGCTCCATAAGCCCTCGTCTTTAAATGGCATCAATAGCTCAGCTTTTCAGCAGTTAATCAATTTATCAATCAGCCAATTAATGGAACAGTGAAACATCCAGACAGAAACTCTAAACAGAAACGCAGCATTCACATACACAGGCGGTGCGAGCTTAAATTCACATGCAAACATTGGACAATCACACGCGCGGGTAGAAGCTGCGACATCTCACCAGCGTGGACACAAGGTCCCTGGTCTGCCTCTGCCTGGTGAGGAGCAGGAAGAGAGGATGAGAGATGAGGAGGCAGAGGTTGCGAATCAGCTGTTTTTTTCTCACGGCTGAGTCTGAACGGATATAGGCTGCATTAGCTTCGAATCTGAACATGACTCCCCCCTTCCTAGTCATCTGTCTACACCCTCCCTCCTTCCTATTTCCCCATGCTTCTTCGATTATTTCCCTCAGACACTGTTGTCGCCACTTCAGCTCTCTTCTCCCACTCCTCTCTGCACTACTACCTCCCACTTCCTCCTCTGGTTCTCTGCAGAATCACAATCCAGCGGAGGTGTATGCGCTAAAAAGACAACTGCGTACACGGTTCTGTGTGTGTGTGTGTGTGTGTGTGTGTGTGTGTGCGCGTCAGGTTGCTTGTTGGGTTTGCATGTGTGCAATTATGGTTTAAAAATGCACCAACAGCAAATTGAGTCCAGAAAAAAAGAATCAATGTTTAAAATTGTGTGCCGAAAACACACATGATATTTGTGAGCTGATATCTTTGTACACATACTCATGAACATGTGTATGCGAGAGTGTGTGTATGTGTGATATTCTCAGTGTCCATAGAGCTACAGTTAAAACCGCCCAGTCAATTCTCCAAAAACTGGGCTCAAAAACCGAAAAATACTTCAACCTGCTAAGGTTACGTTGTCACAGTAATGACACCAACACTTTCTAGGTTTCTCTTGCTGCAGCACTGGAGTACTTTCTGACAGCACTGTAGGTATATTATAGGGTTATAGTTGTGCCATTACCTTGCCATTTATGGTTCACCCAAATTTTTTTCAATGATAGAAAGTCGGGAACTGTGCAATCCCACATGCACAGATACAACTTATTTTTCCAACCCTGCCGAAATTGATTAAACTCTAGGTGAGAAATCAAAATAACAGAATGACTAGCCATTAGCTTTACATGCTAGGAATAGCTCATATTGAACAGACCATTGTTGTAAAGATTGGAAAATAGTAGCAGTGCAGCAAAGTCTTACCATTGAGGACGAGTGGGGCAGCCGGTTTGACCCTCATCTGGGTGTTGACCAGGTGGGGTCGGCCCGTCTTCTTGGAGCTGCGCTGTCGAGCCACCACCTTTGCTAAGTGGGCTGTCTGATGGGCACCTGAAGCAAAATACACCATCTGTAGCGAGAGAGGAGAGTACACAGACTTATATCAATAAGATATGCGATTCATCATAAGGGGAAGCAACCTTCTATTAAACACAAGGTGGGCATATTATTCAGATTATAGACACAGCACTTTGGATTCATAGCAGTATTAAAATATATGATATATAAACAGGAAGGATTATATATATATATATATATATATATATATATATATATATATATATATATATAACTATGGCTTGCCATGCGTACACATCAATCTTTCAAAGCATCCATCCATCCATCTTAAAGAGCTTGTAACACCTCATTGCCCTACAAGGCAGCTGCGCTGCATAGATGCTGGGTTACTTGTTGTTCCTATGGTTTTAAAAAGTAGGCTGGGGGCCAGAGCCTTCAGTTATCAAGCTCCTCTTTTTGAGAACCAGGTTCCACTTTTAGTCCGGGGGGCAGATTCGGTCAGCTCTTTTAAAGTAAAACTTAAAACTTTCCTCTTTGATTGTGCCTATAGTTAGGGCTGGCTCAGGCTAGCCCGGACCAGCCCTTAGTTAAGCTGCTATAGGCTTAGAATGCCGGGGGACTTCTTAGGACACACCGTGCTCCTCTCTCACGCTCTCGTTCTACCATAATTCACGTTTTATTAATGCACATGACTAATTCAGCTTCTTTCCGGGAGTTTTTTTTTGTGCTTTCTCCCCTAGCAGGTCTCCGTAGATCGTGGTTCCTTAGGGACCCTGGTCCTGACACCTACCGTGGCCCTGCTGACGCCTGCTGCGGCCATCATCATCATCATTATTATTTTAGATATTAATCATATTACTGTACTTATAAACCAACATTACCCTCTCCTTAAGTCTCTGTGCTCTCCCTCCCCACAGGCTTCTGTGGATGGTGGTTCTATCTGATGGTGGTTGCCCCTGCAGTGGTCCTGCTGTGCGCCTGGCTTACTACTCACAATTACTTGAATCATTTCTGTCATAGGAATTGCATGTATTATATATTGTTCATTCTGTACACATGGCATCCATTGTAGTCTGTCCATCCCGGGAGTGGGATCCCTCCTCTGACGTTCTCCCTAAGGTTTCTTCCCTTTTTTCCCTCTTCGAAGGGTTTTTTCATTTTTTGGGGAGTTTTTCCTGTGCCGGTTTCGGGACAGAGGATGTTGTATGTGTACAGACTGTAAAGCCCTCTGAGGCAAATTTGTAATTTGCGATTATGGGCTATTCAAAATAAAATGAATCGAATTGAATTGAATCCTGTACAGGCCACACACACACACACACACACACACACACACACACACACCTCTCCAGAGCGGGTGCGCTCTGTGCGGACTACAGAGGGCATGCTGGCTAGCAGTGCATCCAGGTGGTTGTGTCCCATCTGTTTGTGTGGTATCTGCTCCCCGGTCAGCTCTTTGTACTCCAGCTGCAGACGGGACAGCGACACGCCGCCTTTGTTGGCCAGTAGGACGGCCCGAAGCATCTTCTTCACCCCTTCCACGTCAACCATCTGAGAACAAATGAATGCAGTTGTTTACAGATGGAAAGTTTGTTTCTATGTATAGTCGGAGCAGTAGTTTCTTTCTTATATATATAGTACAGTGATTGTAAATGCCATGCATCTATTTTTCCTTAAGGGACTGGAGAACTGGTTTGAATATGTTTTATATAAATTGTATTATATATTAGAAGTCTAACAAGCAGGTACTCGTGGGTTATTTAACTCAATCTGAGATTATTTAATTTTTCAAAGCCACAAACAGTCCCCTGATATCACATTTAAGGGCTTAATGTGGAAGATGATACAAATTTCCTTGCTGGTGTACAGACTGTTATATTCCATCTCTCTGCAAAAAACTACATAGGAGGAGTAAAATAAAATCCTTTTTTGGATGTATGTTTGAGTTTTTTATTTAGTATATTTTATATACTAAATATGTGTGTGTGTGTGTGTATATATATATATATATATATATATATATATATATATATATATATATATATATATATATATATATATATATATAAAAATATATATAAATAATAAAAAATATATAAATATATATATAAATAATAAAAAATAAAATATATATATATACACACATACATATTTCGTAACGACCTCGTTGTTGGTTATGACATTGTATCTACTTTTCTCTACTACGTCTATACTTTGATTGAAATAGATGTTATTCCGCAGAGGGTGCGGCCGTGGGGAATAGAATTATGCTGGAAACAAAGTGAATATACATGTCTGATTTACCCTTCTAATATCAGGCAAAAAGCTTCAGCATTCGATAAGTTACAGTCACTTGTTGATTCATTTCTTAGTTCAGGCAGCAGACGGGACATTCAAACTGTGAATGACGTAACTCGTCACACTTCAACTCCACACCCTCCATCGGGACCAAACTATTTGGGTTGGGTTCCCTTGTCTTATTTCGTTTCCTTAACAGAAGTGCAAGAAAACAGTCCTTGCGGGTCGAATGACGCCGACGGAATGTATACGACTCAGAATACAGTCAGTTCAGGCAACGATAGTGCGCGTAACATCGATTATCCTTAAATCCTTCGGTGCCACCTCCGGAACAGCGGCCGATAAAGTTTACTGTCAAAATATCGGAAACGTTCACATGTTACTTTCATAATACAACTCCAGAGACCCACTGACATGTTTTTCACCAAGCATATTAGCTACAGAAGCTTTTACTTTGAAAGTCCCTACCGGAAATAGGTATTGCTTCCTAGCTAGCTTAAAAAAACTTTCGAGCCATCCTAGCCGACACACTGTAAAAAGAGGTAAAATAAACACCCAACAACAACTTTACCAAGAGTGAAATGCTGTCAAACTCCAAGCAAATCGGCGCGCTACAAAAATCTTCTACCTTGCTGTGACCAGAGAGAGGAGTCAGCGCCGGTTCCAGTCTCTGTCACCGTGTCACCGACACGAGCCGTAAGCTGCAGCCGAGGCACCGAGCGTCTGCCAGCCGGTCCCGGGCACGGCCTCTCCTCCGCCACCTGATTGGTCGGCTGTGGATGGACTTCGGGCTAATTACACGTCGGTACGTCCGTCCAGGCCGCAGCTAAAGACCGAGAGCGCGTGTTCCGCCCCACCGACACGAAAAAGAAGCAAATGATGACATTTGGGAAGCGGAGACAAAAAAAAGACGTGATGCACTTTTGCTTGAGACAAATGAACGAATTTATTAAACTATGAACAATGAACATATAGTTATAACAGATTTTTTTTGTTGTGTTTGCAATATATATATATTTTTTTTCTTTCTTTCACTGTCATGTATATTGTCATATTTATCAAGCAGTAATTAAATTATTTATTTTCTCAGTCCACCAGATATCTGTAACATGATGCTTTCATGTCGTTAAGTTATTTACTTACATCACTCTGTAACTTGTCTTTGTGTTTTCATTTTCAACCTTTAGGTAGTATTGATTGCGCATCTTATTATGTTGTTTTTTAATTATACCATCATCAACTGTTGCTTCTAACACAGTTTTAGCCCAATAGTCCGTATCCATATTTAAATTCTATATTTTTTTTACTTGTACATGTTTAATCGAAACAATAATGGAAGCGTGATCAAAAAATAATCCACACCATCAATCAAGGTCCTCAAGAAAAAGAAGAACTCTTGTAAAAAAATAAAAAATAAAGTGAAACCCAGCTGTGCAGTGGGCTCTGGGTCAGTAAAATACAATTATTTATAAGTAAAGAATAGCCACTAGGGACACTGATTTCCACTTTTCCTCTCGTCTTTTGGCACGTCAGGCGACCGGAAGTGACCTGTCAAAAAAAAAGCCGGAAAGGACTACTGGAGTTCCAAGCTACGTAGCCAGAAAATAACAACATAGGATCATCTTTTGTCTGCATGAAGGCCTGAAGCTGCTCCATTTGAAGACAGGAATCTTTGTGTTTGCCAGGTAAGATCAGTGACAACACGCAGGTAATCTACGTTAGTTTAGCGGTTCTTTTCTGTCTGACTAGCACGCTAGCTGTGTTTGAACGTTAGCTATTGAGCTACTGTGGATAGCTCACTTCTGCTGTATGACTAAACCCAGTTAACGTCAGATGGCAGAGTGAAGCGTAAATTAACTACCGTGTCATTCTGTGTAACAACAGAATGATTTTGTATGTAATTGGATCGAAATAAAGTCACTGTTGGCTCCGTGATGAGAGAGAAGCTTCCATGTCGGTCTTGACATTTCTCCCTATCGCAATTTGTGCACCCTTCATTCCTGTCGCTATGTTTTAGTATTCCTTTTAATGCGTTGCTTAATAAGTGTAATATTATTTTTGTAGGAACTGTTTTTATAAACGGTAACGTTAAACGAAGAAGTATTCGCTACATGTAGCCACTGTTAGTCAGCTAACCAGAGTTAATGGAACGAGCTCTTGTTAACATGTCTGTTTGTTAAAGATGACGTAAACTGAAATGTGAGTAAACGTATTCGAGAAAGAAAGGTGAACACGGCAGCAATGTCTCCACGCTTCATTACTTCTGAACTGGGTTATTATTAAATCACTATAGCCGCATATAAGCAGGCCAGTAAACTGATCACTTTTAAAAGGGCCTAACACCCATGTGTAGTCCTCATTTGACCCTCCTTCTCTCAGTTCAAATCAGCTGTGACGTATTGTGATGCAGCTCCTCCCTGAAGTCCCAGTCTTGTATTTCTTTCTCCTCTCTCTTTTAAAGAGGAAGGGATGTGAAAGCAGTAAAAAAGTTAACACTTAAGACTTTGTATCGGTGGTGAAACCATCTTAAGTATCATGGCTTCGAACAGGCGACATTCTTATACCCCCAGGGTGAGTATTCAATATTGAATGATATCTAATAGTACATTGTTATCTTTTTTTGCTAAATTACATCAGTGTAATTTCTTTCATTATGTCTAAACCTATAAATAAGAAAGGTTTTTGTCACTCACCATACAGTGGATGCCGGATTGACTTGGTTGCATATCGTGTCCTCATCGGATAAAGCAAACAAGAATATTTTTAGGGGAAGATAAAGACACTGACCTTGAGTTTTACCTGTAGGAAAGCTTTTTGTTCCAAGTATCTGAAATCGCATTACATCTAGAAGACTCCTCAACTATCTCTCTGCTTTTGTCGGGAGGCTTTAGAAAAGGTTTCTAACTAGAACTCTGTCCTGTGGTTTAAAACTGAGGCAGCATGAATGTCCCAACCGCTTAATAAAAGGATTACACTCCACTCTGAATGAGCATCTTTGTGTGAGAAACGCAGGAATATGCCTTGTTTATCAGAAAAGTCTGTTGTGGTCCACAACACATGACTGGTTGCATGACTGTGCGTCTTTGCTTATGTCAATAAGAGGCTTTGTTGTTGAATATTTCCCTAAAATTGCTCTTACTAGCTGGCTTAGTAGGCATTATACATGAAATACTGTTTGTTTTGGTCTTTTAGAGTATTACAAATTATTTACACATTCCTACAGTCAATTTGGCCACGGTAAAGATGAAAAAGATACCATTCCTGAAAAATTCAGAAAAAATTCAGAAAGTCAAGTAATAACCTGAACCTTCCATGTTCAAAGTCTCACACCTCACCACAAATTCCCATTTGTAACCAAATGTCTTATACGTTCTCTCTCCCAAATTTCCCCATAAATCTGCGCATTCATATTTCCCAAATCCATCAGCTGACCAGCCCACTGATCAGCAAAATGAGCAGCGCAGGAACAGTGGAGACTACCAGGCCTCCAAAGGTGGGTTACTTTGAATATTTCCAGCTATCTGTCTGTATTATAAATGATTATCCACTATTTGATGATGACACAGCCGGTCATCTTGTCTCTGCTCTTCATCCCAGATTGGCTCTATCGTGGAGGTGACGGGGAAGGGTCAGCGTGGCACTGTTGCCTACATTGGGGCCACCCTCTTTGCCTCTGGGAAATGGGTGGGCGTCATACTGGACGATGCCAAAGGCAAGAACGACGGCACCGTGCAGGGGAAGCGCTACTTCACCTGTGAGGAAAATCACGGGATATTTGTCAGACAGTCCCAGGTTAGTGGCATACGTGTGATGTAAGCATTAGTGCCTGTGTACTTTGACCAGTTTGAAAAGCGTCAATCATTTTATAGGGAGTTTGAGGGTTCTTTTTTTAAAATCAGAATTATTGAAGCACATACACCTTTATGTCTCCGTGCAGCTCCAGGTGGTTGAAGATGGCTCCAGCGCCACCTCACCAGATACTCCGGAGTCAGGCTCTACTAAGATTCCCAGACAGAAAGGTGAGTGTGAACCACAGCTGTGCTGTTAAATTCATACTTTTGAAACTCTGTTATAAAAATAACAGTTGAAATTCTTTCTTAATTGGTTTCCTGCAGATATTCCTGAAACTCCCAGAACATCCAAGCAGGTAATCAACCCTTATTTGCACCGCACAGCTTTTTTTTGTCTTGTCAGTTTAGAAATGTTGTGTTGTTTCCGTGACTTGGCCTTGAAGATTGTTGGATTGCAAACAATAGCTGGTCCATATGTGCACTCTTAAGTTAACTTGTGAAGTGGACATTGTGCTGCCCTTTCCACAGCAGCTATGACGGCCTAACTGTGAATAAGGAATCAATCCAGTTAAACTAAAATCCATTTCAAAGAAATTACTAGATGTGCTTTTCCTTTTTTCTTTTCTGTCAAATATAAACGTGTTTTTAATTAAACGGTGTTTTGCCTCTCAGCCGTTTGACAACCTATTTTTGTTTTTCTGAATACTTTTTACAGACACCTGTGAACGTTAAGAAGGTAGAAATAATGCAATTCAACATGTTTGCTTTTGCCGTGGTTGTTCTTAATCGCGCTTACATGGCAACTCATCTTTGTATTTATTTCCATGTGTTGTTGCTTGCATGGGATAATATGACTTCTTTTTGCTGTTGGTAAATGCAATTTTCACTGGTTTGCTGTGGCCACGCTTTTTTGTGTATACCAAATGTTGTTTGTTTGCTCATTTTAATTTTCATTCTGGTGACGGCATCCACACATTTAGAAGTAAAACTAAGACTGTAATGCCATAATGACTTAGCCTTTGCTTTTTGCCAGTGATATTTTGCCAATGTATCAACACAGTTGCATGATGCCACATTTCTTTCTGCTTTTACAGCTGAAGTTCTTTAAATTCTTTCAAATGGTGCATGTAAAGCTCTGATCAGTGGATGGGAACTAACCGTGGATGTGCTTCTTATACTGCTAATCTCTTATCTTGCTTCACCACTGGATGTGTGTGCGAATATCCGTGTGTGTGTGTTTGTGTGTGTGCGTGCGTCCATCTTTCCCCCTGCAACTCACCTCCTCCCCTCAAGTCCTCTACCCGCCGCCCCGGCAAGGTGAGCTCGTCTGCAGCGGAAACGGGAGGAAAACAGAATGATTTGAAACGGCAGTTGATTCCCAAAAACGTTGGTTATTTGTTCCAACTTTTTCTGGGTGCTTTCGCTCTGCAAGTTAGATCAGGGGCTTTGAATGCTTAACATCTTTCTTTGTGTGATAACTGCATCCTCGTTCTTAAACTGTAGTAGAGAAGACAAACGGTGTTATATTAGTTTGATCAGTAACACAGAGATTTATAACCATGCAAACCTTTAGAAAGCGGTCACATTTCTGCGTCTAAGGAAGATCATTTTGATTATAATCAATTGCTAGATATATTTATGTATTATACACTGGACACATGGCTGCAGAATTAGCATCAGGTTGTAGGGAGCTCAATTTAGCTAATTCTTTGAAGAAATAGTTGCCAGAATGTAATTGACAATGTCATCATATGTATCCACTAAGGGTAGTACTTCTCTGCACATGTACGCACATATGTATATAATGTGTTGTACCACATAATATAATGTACCACAATATTTCAGTCTGTTTTGGGCAGCTGAGTTTTACAAATCCCTCTATGAGAGTCCTAACAGTCTTTATGCGTCAGTGGAGCACTCCAAGTCGTCTCACACCTGCCACCTCCCTCCCCTCCCTCTTG